TACATACATACATTACATACATACACACATACATTACCATACATACATACATACATACATACATACATACATACATACATACATACATACATACATACATACATACATACATACATACATACATACATACATTACCATACATACATACATACATACATACATACATACATACATACATACATACATTACATACATACATACATACATACATACATACATACATACATACATACATACATACATACATACATACATTACATACATACAATACATACATACATACATACATACATACATACATACATACATACATACATACATACATACACACATGCATACATTGTTACATACATACATACATACATACATACATACATCAAATACATACATCACATACATCACATACATCACATACATCACATACACACATACATACATCACATACATACATACATACATACATACATACATACATACATACATACATACATACATACATTACATTTACATTACATTACATTACATTACATACATACATACATACATACATACATACATACATACATACATACATACATACATACATACATACATACATACATACATACATACATTACATACATACATACATACATACATACATACATACATACATACATACATACATACATACATACATACATACATACATACATACATACATACATACATACATACATACATACATACATACATACATACATACATACTTACATACATACATACATACATACATACATACATACATACATACATACATACATACATACATACATACATACATACATACATACATACATACATACATACATACATACATACATACATACATACATACATACATACATACATACATACATACATACATACATACATTACATACATACATACATACATACATACATACATACATACATACATACATACATACATACATACATACATACATACATACATACATACATACATACATACATACATACATACATACATACATACATACATACATACATACATACATACATACATACATACATACATACATACATACATACATACATACATACATACATACATACATACATACATACATACATACATACATACATACATACATACATACATACATACATACATACATACAGACATTACATACATACATACATACATACATACATACATACATACATACATACATACATACATACATACATACATACATACATACATACATACATACATACATACATACATACATACATACATACATACATACATACATACATACATACATACATACATACATACATACATACATACATACATACATACATACATACATACATACATACATACATACATACATACATACATACATACATACATACATACATACATACATACATACATACATACATACATACATACATACATTACATACATACATTACATACATACATACATACATACATACATACATACATACATACATACATACATACATACATACATACATACATACATACATGCATATACATACATACATACATACATACATACATACATACATACATACATACATACATACATACATACATACATACATACATACATACATACATACATACATACATACATACATACATACATACATACATACATACATACATACATACATACATACATACATACACATACATACATACATACATACATACATACATACATACATACATACATACATACATACATACATACATACATACATACATACATACATACATACATACATACATACATACATACATACATACATACATACATACATACATACATTACATACATACAAACATACATACATTACATACATACATACATTACATTACATACATACATTACATTACATTACATACATACATACATACATACATACATACATTACATACATACATTACATACATACATACATACATACATACATACATTACATACATACATACATTACATTACATTACATTACATACATACATACATACATACATACATTACATACATACATACATACATACATACATACATACATACATACATACATACATACATACATACATACATACATACATACATACATACATACATACATACATACATACATACATACATACATACATTACATACATACATTACATACATACATACATACATACATACATACATACATACATACATACATACATACATACATACATACATACATACATACATACATACATACATACATACATACATACATACATACATACATACATACATACATACATACATACATACATTACATACATACATACATACATACATACATACATACATACATACATACATACATACATACATACATACATACATACATACATACATACATACATACATACATACATACATACATACATACATACATACATACATACATACATACATACATACATACATACATACATACATACATACATACATACATACATACATACATACATACATACATACATTACATTCATACATACATACACATACATACATACATACATACATACATACATACATACATACATACATACATACATACATACATACATACATACATACATACATACATACATACATACATACATACATACATACATACATACATACATACATACATACACATACATACATACATACATACATACATACATACATACATACATACATACATACATACATACATACATACATACATACATACATACATACATACATACATACATACATACATACATACATACATACATACATACATACATACATACATACATACATACATACATACATACATACATACATACATACATACATACATTACATACATACATACATACATACATACATACATACATACATACATACATACATACATACATACATACATTACATACATACATACATACATACATACATACATACATACATACATACATACATTACATACATTACATACATACATACATACATACATACATTACATACATACATACATACATACATACATACATACATACATACATACATACATACGAGAGAGGGAGATTGGGGAGAGAGAGGCTTGGGGGGATGGGGAGGATGGGGAGCAGACGGAGGGAGAAAGGACGACAGAACACACAAGGGAGACAAGGGAGAGAGGACGAAGGAGAAAAGGGAGAGGACAATGTCGGCGGACTGAGCCGGAGGCTCTAAAGTTTGGGGGAACCCCAATCCGTAATCCCTAGTTGGAAACGGCCAAAAGGTTGATTCCTAGGGTAATTGAAGGGTCCAGGACATGGGTATGGGTCAAAATTAAACCACCAGGGGACTGCAGACTCTAGTCCATGTTTCCATTTAGCAGGGTTCCACTTGGGGTACGTATTTTTGACAACCACACCCACATGGATGTTGGAGGAGATTTCAGGAGGATCACAACTCGCAAAATTTGTCGCCAAACGCCTCCACCCGGGGTAGGGGCAGCTCCCAGCGCGTCAGCTGCGTGGGCCGGTGCACAAAGTAGGGCCGGCCCGTCCTGCGGTTCCCAGCGAAACATACGGATCTGACTCTTTTTTTTCCGGCACTGCGCTGCATATCAATCATATTATGGGCCTTTGCCCTGGGTTTCAACCCCCGCAAAAAGAGGCCCGAGGGGACCCAATTTGGATGATGAACATCCTGAACAGTACATAATGGTGGTTCTAATAACCCAACCATTGTTGTACTTTACGCTTTGAACCCCAGGGCCAAACCAAGGGGCACACTCAAAAAATACCCGTGAGCAACTCATCAAATTCCATTTCAAACCTGAAGTAAGAAATGGATCCCCCAAGGACCATAACAGCTCGTTGCACCCAAGTTTTGCCACCAGAGACCTTTGGGCGCTGCTCAATGCACCGCACCGATCTGTGCTCAATCGGGGTCTGTCCTGAAGTGCCTATTTTGAGGCTTCAAAGGGAAACCAACAAGAAAACCACCGAATCGGGGGGTCCCTCAAGAGAGACTCTCCCATATGAGGGGGTAGGGCTGTCTGTCTGTTTTTCTGCCTGTCTGCCTGCCTGCCTACCTGTCTGTCTGCCTGCCTGTCTGCCTGTCTGGCTGTTGGTCTGTTCGTCTGTCTGTCTGTTTGTCTGTCCGTCTGTCGGTCAGTCCGCCCGTCCGTCCGCCTGCCTGCCTGTCTGCCCGCCCGTCTGTTGTCTGTTCTCCTGGACAAGAAGCAAATCCCTGTTCGGTTTCCTGTAGAGAACATTACATATCAATCCTCCCTCGGCTTCCTTTATGGAAAATTAGTAACCCAGCAAATTTAGGTATCCGTTGGAAAGCCAAGAGAACAAGGCCACCTACTGGACTGGTAGCTGGAGACCCTGCGGGGACAATATGTCTTCTTTGGCTATGAGTTTCAACTAGGGCCCCTTGGGCGGAATTCATTTACATCGATTTGTTCCACGAACCATATGTTGAGTGTGTTTTTGAACCCGTACAAATCCAGAATTTTGGGAGGGGAGGTTCTCCCATTCTTCGGGCGGTGTCCTTTGGTTTCCCTTGAGAATGACCCCAAAAAGGTGGTAGCCTCAAAAACAACCGCTGTGTTTGGGAGACCCTTCAACTTCCCGAGTTGACTGGCCCCAAAAAGTCCGAACTGTTCATATAAACCACTAAAAAAAAGGGTCTTCCCCAAAAGTTTTTGAAGTCCACGAGCTCCGGGGGGTGGAGTTTCCCTTGGCCCCAAGAAGCGTCGCCTGAAGTCCAGCAGCCGCTCCCAGAACCCCAGCTGCGGCGGCGGCGGGTGCCAGCTCGACCTTCCCAGCGGCCGAGCGGGCGATGACGCGCGGGGGCCGGGGGGGGGGGGGGGTTGTGGGGGTTGGAGGGCCTAGCTCCAGTTGCTTTTTTGGTCAGTTTGGTGAATGTTCCCACAGATCTTGTTGGTTTCAGCTTGGCTTGAAGAATTGCTTGAGGCCCTGGACAAATCGAAATGTTCGCAGAAAGAATGGCCCATGTTTTTTTTTGGAGGCTGGGCCTTTGTTGGGCTTGGTTTCGAAGGGAACCAAAGAGAAAGCGCTTTTCTTTGTTGGGGCTGCTGCGATAGGCAGGGAATGAGAAAAAGAGTGACCCAAAGAAAAACCATCCAACTGGTGGTTTCCTTGACGGGGATCCCACAGAATTTTGGTGTAACATCCACAGATGTTGCTGGTTTCATTTTGGATTAAATAATTGTCCCTTGCTTGCCTTGCTGGTGCTCAGCAGGAAATGAGGGAATGACCACAATAGACAACCGTGGCTTCTATTAAGGGAATCCCTGGATTCATTCCCTGATTCGCTACTGAGCACCTACAAGTTGCTTACCCTTCCTCCCACGTTGGCATGGCAACTGTGGGAGGCTACCTGGAAGGTAAGTTTCCACTGGAGGGACCCGGTCCCTGTCAGGTGCCATGTTAGTGGGAGGAAGGGCAAGTCCCCTGGCAAGTGAAGATTTCCTTTAAACCAACAGGGGAACGTAACCAAAAGGAAAACCTTCATTTGGAGGCCCTATTTACACACACACACACACACAGTCACACACACACACACACTTGTACTAGAACCTTTTTTTCAGGGACATACAAACCTCTTGAGGGAGTATGGGGTAATCATCTTGCCAAACAATCAGGAAAGTGGACCGAGAGCTTGCCGCAAACGTAAGACCTTGATCATTCCGAGCTCAATGGCCATCGGACAAAGCGGCACCTTGTTTTTCTGGGCTGCCCTCAGATCTCCCGCTAAAAGTGAATCACTCTTAATGGGTTAAATGAAAACTACCACTAAACACGAAAAGGCTAAAAAGCTATAGAGCTAAGGGGATGAACTACCACTAAGCACGAAAAGGCTAAAAAGCTAAGGAACTGGATGGCCGGGAGCCACCAAGATTCTTGGTGGGACGTTCATCCTCCGCCTCGACCTTTAAGCTCGCGAAAGAAAAAGACGTGCAGAGCGAGCGGGCGGATTCCCGCAAAACGACCGCAGATCGGTCCAACGGAACAGGCCCGAGAAGAGAAACCCCAAGCCACTGGCTGAACAAAGCGTACGGCCCTGTTTCTGTTGGTGGAGTTTGAGGGGAAGCCCTTGACCCCTTCCCAAAAGAAATTGGAAGGGGTGGAACCCTCTGGCCAATGACAAAGCCTACTTAACAGCGCCACAAATGGAAAAAACACCCAGCAGATTGAGCGTTTCCCTTTAGGTCCCTGTAAGAGAAAAATCATCTTCGAGGACCCGGAACGTCAGGTTCCATGCTCATTTCGAGGGGTCTCTCTAAGCCGGTCCACTAACATGGAACCGAACCCACCAGGAGGTCCCTCTTCCTCCAAGACTCTCGGAGACTCCAGACCGCGAGCGCTCATTTTTTTGGGTCGCGCCGAGCGCACTCCGCGCACTCCGCCCCGAACGAGCCCCGCGCGACCTGGCAGTCACGTGATCCCAGAAGTAGCGCCCGCCCATGGGATCCGCCACCGCTTCTACCACCGGAAGCTCCTTAGTGACTTGGACTTGAAACCCATATTCGCACATTACGTCCTGAGTAGCCCAAACAAGTCTGAAGTTTGTTTTACTACTAGAATGGTCTTGCCAAAAAGCATTTCGAGTTCAGGAACTCAGAAAGTGAGCATAAGAATATGACCATGTGACAAGTTGATGATTCCAAACCCTGAGAAAGGTGAGCTCACTTTTATACCAGCCCATAAACTAGGCAAAATACCATGATTGCAAATGGGACAGCAAAGGTTGGTCACTTAACGTGTGTACATCTGCTCGCATGTTTTCAGGCACCCATCTCTGACAACCGGTAGCTAACCAGACCTGTCAAGCACCCGAGTGCTTGAAGGAGGAGACAGCACACCCAACCGCCAACCGCAACCTGAGCAGCGCGCAAAACCAATCCAGGTAAACTTTCATCGTCGAAACCCTCCAAGAGAATGCCAACCGGGGGAGTGGGCTGCTCAATCGCATGCAACCGGCACCTCTCAATAAGCAATCTTGACGCCACACATGCATTGCAATGTCGGCCACATATTTGCGACTTGGTGGCAAAGGTTAAACACTAATCAAACACCAGTCAGTGGGAACGGGAAGCTGGGATAACCGCACATTGACACGGCTCCCTACAGAAGCTGGAACTTATGAATATTGGTCTAATGCGGCCAGGGGCAAACATCCAATCGCCGAAGCGCCAAATTTCAACTTAGAGCGCTGCATATGGGTGTGTTTTTTTGTTGAGGGCACCCTTGTTTGATTGGTTTTAAAGAGAAACCACAAGGACACCAACTGTTTTTTGTGATTGTTTTTGGGAGGGGGGGGGGTTCTCCAAAGAAAACAAACCCATATGTGTTGCTTAAAGCGCAGAAGCCAAAGGGGTCAAGAGCCACTGGGCCAAGCCCTGGTTCTAAACCGCCTTTTGTTTTGCTGTTTTAATGGGGACAAAAATGGGTCTGCTTAAAACCAATGCGACCAACCCTGGCAAGAACTTCTCCCAGTCAATCCCAGTCACCAGTTATATTAAATATTTCTGGGTCTGGAAATCCAAAGCACACCTTCCCTGCAACCCAGCAGCTTGCCGCACACGCCTGGAGCCAGTGGGGCCATGCCGAGGTAAGACACACTTCAGGGTCGATTCAGTCAAAGCTTATCTGCGCCAAGATCATCCAGGGGATGGCAAGGAGTAGATGTCTGCTGTACAGGAGGCCTTTCCAAAAACTTGGGTAAGCCTTGCATTTGCGAAAGAACCGGGTTTTGAGCTGCCCCCTGATGGTTTTAAGGGGAAACTTACACTCTTTCCAGGGCACTTAGCCTTGATGAATGAAGCAGGGGTGTCCTCCATGTTGTTCACAACTCGGCAAGGAAGCCCGCCGTTTGTGGGACCCGGGTCCCTCATTGTAAGATCCAAATAGTTTCTTGAGGGCGACTTCCCTGAGCCAGCCCCTTTCGGCGGGAGAGACATCAGTCAGTGACATGAGTCATCGGTACCATCAAATCCTGTTCCAAGAACCTTCTTTTTCAGACCTTTTCTAGACCCAAATGGTCCAAGTACCGTACATGCGTGGAGTTGAATCGGCAATTGACACATCCTCTCGAACCAAACCCAACATCGCAAATATGGTGTACTTGGGCATCCCAAAACGGCAAAAAAGGGGTACGTGCTTTGAGGATAGTTAGGGGGGTTGAACTTAGGCCCCAGTGGACCCTCAAGGTTTCCTTGGGGGTGTGGGGCAAACTTTGGTTTAAACAACCGTTCCCTGGGCCCCTTTAAACCAAATCAACGGGAGGCTGGTTGAACCATTGCGGGTAACACCATCTCTTAAACAAGGGATGATTTTTTTTGGCCTCCGGTGTGTTCCTTGTTAGACTCTGTCCAAGAGTCCTGCAAGCTGGAAAGAGGGTGTAAAAACGGAGCACCACACAGTTTCTGCCAGCTTGAGGGGCTGCTTGTGTCCAAGAGTCCAGGGTGTTGAAAGACTTGGCCATGGGTCAAAAGCCAAATCGTACTCCCATTGAACATCCCAATCCAACCGCTAAAATAGGTTCTATTTTTTTGACAACCACAGCCACTTCTTTTTCTTCCAACACACAAAAACAAAACAAAAAAACGCCGCCCGGCGGCGAGATGGGCGAGATCGGCGGCTGCCAAGCGCCGTGCTCCAGCTGTTCCTAGGCGCGCGGTGCATCCCGTGGCACGGGGGGAAGCGCGTCGTTCAAAGGGATCTGGTTGAAGAGCCGACATGTGGCTGTGGGTCAAAACCCTGTACCCCTGGTGAACATCAAAATAGGTGGTACCTGGGTGTTCATCCGCCCCAAAATGGAGGCATAGGTTATTGACCCATGGCCATGTGAGTGGTTTGGGTTGCTTTAACTCGAAAGCTTGTCATTGTTCAAGTTGGATGTTATAGACAAGTCGGCTTCGCGAAGTACGCTTTCCATAAGAAAATGCGGAAAGTACAAACATGCCACGATATATGGTGTCCATGCCCGGCCAAATTGTGATTCCGGCTCAGACGCCCTGCACAGCTCAGTGGGGCTTGGAGGGCGCGTGACTCCATTTGAAACGGTCCAGTGGCGTGTGTTGAATCACCATCCAAGTGAAATGGAGGCTGGCTCTGGGGGTTGATCTGAAAAAACCAGCCATGGAGTCGGCTTGACTCAGAATGCGTGACTTTGGGAAAATTCGGGTTGAGACGCGGTATAGTTTGAAGGCGCACAGAGCGTGATGTCCGACACGTGAAAACCCCATGCTCTTTCGTACTGACCTCAAAAGGTCACGTAAAACGGAATTGGATATCTGCCTGGACCGCCGTAGTTGCCTTTTTTAATATGCAACTACAAAATTGAAAATAACTATGGGATGGAAATTGGCAACTTTGTGAAAGTTGCATATTTTAAGCATGACACCTCGCCCAGCTCTCTTGGATCTGTAGCTCTGGCAGAGCATTCACGCATTTTCCACGCACAGGCAACGTGCATCAGGCGAACATCAGGCCACAGCTCGATGGTAGCCTGCCAAAGCGATGGTTGGATCATGCGGAACGCAATCAAAGGACCGCCCTGCATCCATTCAATCCCATAGCATGTTGCCCAATGTCTCGCCCCGCGCAGGATTCATCAAGCTCAAGGTTTGATGCATGCCACTGGTTTGCAAACTGGTTGCCCTTCGCCAATCCCTGACGCCCTGCTTAATTAAGGTGATGATCTGGCCTTCGTGGCTTGCAAGCTGGTCGGCTTCATCTCCTCCAGCCTGGGTGCGGCTGGCGTATTATCAACCGATATGCTCCATCGTCAGGTAGTGCTCTTGCCTTTGATTCTCACACGAAGCCCCAAGTTGACATGTGCAGCATTTTGGCTGAAAGGCAGGCAGTGCCCGGCAACATGCCCCTGGCAAAAGAGGGATCGGCTTGGTCTGACTGTGCTTCTGGGTGGGAGGCTGATCCCAAAATCAGGGCTCGCTTTAAGAAGGGCTTGCCTTGGGTGCAATGGCCCATTTGCGGCCGTGATGAAGTGGCCAACGACCACAACCCGAGCACAAAGGCCCTGGAGCTCAACTCGGGGGCCCTGGTTGTCATGCTGAAGTGCTTTGGCACAGAGTTCATTGACATCGACCGCCTCCAAAGACAGGCGTCTCATGTTTTGAAATTCATGGGCTGCACTTTGCCTTTTTTAAAACAAAGTTTGTCCATCGTCCTTCGTTTCCCTTTTTATGGTCCCATCAACATCCCCGCACAGGTCTGCGCATGATGTCACACATATCCCATCTTGCAACCGGAAGCACAAACATGCCCAACTATGCGTGCGCCCCATTCAGGTGGAGCACCTCTATGACATGGTCAACGTGTCGGTAGACTCGCCGACGCAGTTCTACCGCGAGGCTTGGGACCTTCGGAGGCTCTTCACGTTCAGCTGGAGAAGGTCAAGGGATGCCCAGAAACGGATGCAAGCGCCCAGAGTAACTCAACTTGTTCAAGCAACTGTTTTTTGGGGCATGTTGTTGTTGTCCTGATTGCTATTCGATTGATCCAGTTTCACGCCTTGCTGCTCTCATCTTAGGATGCTGGGGTGAAGTGCCTCTTTGAGCTGATTGGGGCCCTACGTGAGCAATGCGATGATTCAGGGGAAGGCGGATGTGATGCCATGATTGACAAAGAACATTTTGAAGACATTCAGGATGACACGGAAACCCCTTGCATCGCCAGCACATCCGTCACTGACCCTTCAAGCGCGGCCCCTGAAACATCTTTGTCTGGCCCAGAGCTTTCGGAGTCGGATGCGCTGATGGACAGCATGACGGATGAACAGTTTGAAGAGCTGTCAAAGATTCTGGAACAGATCGAGGTTCTTGAGGGGCTGCTTGATTGCATGGATCTTTTTGTGACGCGAAACAAACAACAGATTTGAAAGATTTCGCCAACACTTATCAAAACATGGTTTGCCTGCCCAGGTCACCGCCGCCTCTTCTGTCAGCGTGCCCGCCCTCCCCAAGAAGCTTGGCTCTACACATACATTTTTACGTTGCTGACATTTTCAAAGTTGGGTATGTTGTGAGGGCTGGACTCTGAACAATCCTTGAAGCCTCCAATATCCATTTTGAATGCCTGACTACATCAATTTCCCAATCGCTCGCATGGCTAGGCGAGCCTCTGGACCAGAAACCGACAGAGAACATGCCACCGCCTACCGCGCTTCCTTGCAAGAAGAAGGAAATCAAAAACCCGGATGAGGAGCCCTCATCAGTTTCATGCAGCTTTGACTTGAGTTGATGCATTTACAATTCAGGAGTACAGCTTTTATAAATCTGATATAGCAGTTTCAGGATGTTCAGCAACGTCCCACGTCCAGTCACAGCCATTACATGTGTGTGTACATATATGCATATGTGTTTGTATATATATATATATATGTGTATGTGTTTATGTTGTATAGATGCCCGTGGCTGTGGCCCCACGCCAGGAGGAGACCCAGCCAATGGTGTTCTCCGGCACGCCAACATCACCTGTGGCAGTGACACCCAGCCCCAGTGCTCCGGTTCCCCAGAAAATCACGCCGGAGAAGGCGGGGGATGGGTAAACAACCCGAATGTTCTTCCTCGCAATTTTCTCTCAGATGTGATGTGTTCATGGGTGCACCCAACAAAAAATAAACATGACAACTTGTGATGCATCGCAAAAACCCAAGTTGTTGTTGGCTGAAGGTGGACCCCCCTGGAGATTGCTTGCCAGCCGACCCTGTGCAACAACTCAAGCCAGTTGACCCCTCGCAGCAAGTAGCCCTGGGCAAGCAAGCAAAGCCAAAAAGAGGCAGGAAGCCAAAGGCATGCGCATACAAGAAATCCAAGAGCTTCAAACGCCGTGACGCTTTGAAAAACAAACAGAAGAAAACAGCCAAGCAAGCCAGCAAGCGAACAAAGAGGAAGAGCAGTGCAAAGAGCAAAGCTGAAGCACTTGGGTTGGGGGAGGCGGCGCCAGTTGTGGCACGCGAATCCAAGAGGGCCAAAAGAACGAACAAGCCGGCCACTGGGCCCAAAACCACGGGCAAGGCATCGCAGCAAGAGGCTGAGAAGGCAGCGCCAATTCGCAAGCGAGGCGCCACCGCCAAAGCAAAAAGCAAGGCAGCAGCCAAGGCCAAGGCAAAGGACAGGAAGGCCACTGCACAGACAGGCAAGCCGCAAGGCAACCCTGGGCGCGGGCGGCGCTCCAACGTGAAGCAAAGCAAGATGTTCTTTCCAGCCAAGGAGGGGGCAAAGCCGCAGTGGTCTTACCAGGTTGTTCCTGGGCAGTACTATGGGTGCCGGACTTGCCGCTTCATCTACAATGGCTGCCGCACTTGCCGTAAGGACACTTACTCGGGCATGCGGGCAGAGGCGATGTTGGTTCAGCAGACCGAGCTGTTGGGCAAAGAGGGCATTGACATTGATTGATCAATCAAGCACTACGGCCAGTCCAGGTATCTCATGTTGCACTTAAGAAATCTTAACTGCAACATGTCGATTGACAGTTTGCTGGCATGGCCATGAAACCCGTCCCGTGGGTTGGTTGAAACTGTAGTGTGGCCGCTACACTTTTGAAGGGAAACGATGAAACTGCCCAGTCCTAGGGTTGTTTTCAGGGGGGCCTCTTGTAGGGTTTGCCCTTCCCATGTCCTTAGGCCACTCGTTCAAAGCATGAATATCTTTTTTATGCCTTTGCCGGGGCTTGCAATGTTTCCCCCCTCACATACTCGCATTCTATGGCTCGCCTCGTCCCTCGCATCCGTAAGGTACTGATTGCCGTGGCCAAGATTCTTCAGCATCTGCATGGGTGACAATTCATGGAATTGTTTGTGTGGTGCGGCTGCAAGTACTTGAGAGGGCGTGGCACAATTGCTAGCATGCCTCATTAAGAACCTTCTCAAAGAAGAGGGCAGCCCGTTCATACTTTTCGTGGGGGAGCCATAGGCCATATAGGCATAGACACGTACAGCAGGCTTACCAGTTTCAATGTGAAATGGATGTGATGCAGCCTGCTCCTGTGGAAAAAGGTCCATGCTACATGTCAGTGAGAGTTCATGCAGTTGAAAGAGCATGCCGATCCAACTCATGCCCCAACCTCCCAACGGAATTTCCTCGCACGCTCTCGCGTGCCAGGCCTGGACCTATGAGCACGAAGTGGAAGATCCGGCACGGGTTCCTCAAGAAGGGTGCGCACCCCGCTGCTTTTCACGAGGGCCAAGCGTTTGCACATGTGAGATGTTCACTGTCACACGCATGTGCGTTTTGCTAAGCCTACACATGCGGCTTGCTGAGCAGTTTTGGATCAATGGGATTTGGACACGAATGCAGCATGGGTCCATGGACAAATGTAGACACGCATGGAGCATGGTGAAAGGCTTTGAAAGGCTCTGCCACAACAACCATGCTTCGTTTCTGAGCTGTAGCCAATGCCTCAAATGCCCCGGATCAAGCTTATGATGGTGATCGAGCGAATGATGCAAATGAAGGCCCCTGGTGTCCGAGACCTATAGCCCTCGTTTTGCATGCTATATGATGCAACCCACGCACGCACATGTTTATTGACATATATGGTCATGGGGGTTGTTCAGGTCTTGATGCTGGTGGTCCTCTTGATTGCCTACACGGACCAGCTCACATGGAACCAGGCCTCTTCCACACATTTGCATTAGTGGGCGCCCAAAACAAACACTTGGCAGGCCTACGAGGCGATTGAGGTGTACGCTGGTTCAGCGGTCTTGACTCGGTGCCTGCGTGATGAGGGGATCCCAACATGCGCCATGGACATCACCTTTTGGGAGGAGATGGCCCAGCAGTACAGGCACCGCGCGCCGAAGCACAACCCGTTGGATCTCCGCGAGCCCAGTGGCATGGCGCCCCTTTGATCAAATCTTGAGAGGGAAGGGGATGAGATGTCGCTGTTGTTGTTTCGGGGGGGGCTGATTCGCATGCTTCATTGCCAAAGGCTTCTTCTGAAGGTTATCTTGGAGGGCCGCCCTGGAGTGGTATGCGCCTTTGGGCTGGTTTGTTCAACATGGGTGGTTGTCTCGCGCGGAAGTACGGGCCGCCACTTCTTCCTGCCACTGGGCGACCCCGACAGCCCAAGCACCCGAGAAGCCAACTTGCTCACTGCAAGGACCGTGTTGTTGATTGGGCCATGAAAGGATGTGAAAATTAAGCCATGCATGTTTGATGCTTTGCGCCTAAAGGACATGCATGGCCATGCTTTTCGTGATGGCCAAGAGAGGGGTGTGGCTGGTGGAACAGCCATCCACATCCCTTTGGTATCGCCACCCGCGATTTGCGGCGATCCTCGATCGTTCTCGGGCACCCTGACTAAATCTAGCTTTGCATGCAATCTGCACTAGTGTTGTCATCAGCCATGATTGCAAAACCCCCGCAATCCCGAACCAAGGTATGGAGACAAAACTTTTGGATGCAGTGGTGGGGCAGTGAAACTCCGAAGCGGACGTCGATATGGTCCAACAGCAGAGGGGTCAGACGGTTCAGAACACCCGCCCTCACGCACACCCTAAGGAAGAAGCCTCGCCACTCGCTCACAGCCCGCTACACCGACAAGCAAGGCCGGCGACGCTTCACTGGGAATCGCTTTTTGAAGCCTTCTCAGCCCGAAACCTAGTTTCATGCACCTTTTCAACTGTGCACATCCTGATCTTTATCAATATCAAAAAAGGGATTCACTGCACTGAAGGCGCTACCCTGTGGGATTTGGAGTGCGCTTCGCAAAGAACTTCCGCACAATTCGAGAAGAGCGATCCCCGGACATCAACACACGCACGGTTTAAGCCTAAGATGAAACAACATGTATCGGTAAAGCCAAAAGCCTCGCTCAGGTCCCAGATCCAATCCTGTTGCAGCCCCGCGAAGTCTTTGCCCACTTTGACTTCACGGATCTTTGGGAGGACGCCGGAATGAGTGAGGTGATCCGCTATTTGAGGGGGGGGTCAACTTTGAACCTCCCTGTGAGAGTGAAAGAATGCATCGATGGCATTCTCTGGTGAGGGTCCCAGGTCGAGTTTGGGCAAAATCGTGAAAACAGTACACTGTGCCAGAATTCGGAGTAGAGTGACGTAAAACGGTGATAAAGGTGTAATAAAAACCGTACAAAATATATGGCCAAAATAGGCAACTTTCAGCTTTCAGCAACCCCGATTATAATCCCGATTAAATCCGATTAATTTGCATGACTACTGCCCCGATTAAAGACCTGGGTCCTTGTAGATCTCCGTTTTCGGCTGAGGGGCCCGGCCATTGTGCCCCAGCGAAGAGCAATTTCATGCCTGCCAAAATCTGGCCATACACGCATGCAGCTTGTCATCATGGAGCTTTTGATCATCCCGCATGAGTTGTTGCCTTTGCATGAAAACCTGGCAATGGCTTCAGCATTTGCTGATCAAGCTTTGGTTGCGAGGTTTAGCATGGCTGGCCCACTTCGTGATATGCAATCGAAAGCATGGTCTTGTGAAAGCTTGCTTCGTGGATCCTCATTCTTGGCCAGCCAATCAAAGAAGAAGAATATCACGCCCCTGGATGCAATCAAAGTTGCTCAGCCAATATAAGACATGATGATAACTGCATTTGGGCAAACCCAGTTTCAACGGTTTCTGAGGCTGCCAAGCACAAGCTGGAGATTTTGCAACGGCAGAAAGAGATTTCTACCGAGCCTGAAACGCCTCCATGCAAGCCGCCTGCGAGCCCTGCAGAAACCATTGAAAGCTCGGGCGGGCCTCCCCTCGCAACGAAGGCAATGAGCTCTTCCGCCAGTCCTTTGAGAACGAAGCCGGCCACTGCCGCAACACTGCGCTCGGATTCGCAAGAATCATGGCCGGACTGCTTGGGTTTGCGCAATCGCACATCAAGCATAAGAGCGTTTGCACCCCCAGGCCATCCACATGTCAGTGCTTTTTGGGAGTACCCATTCATGCATGATTCAGGTCATGTCGAACATGCCATGCTTGACATTCGCTGATGCTGTCCTCGTCTCACCTTGAAAGCTGACCTGATTTGCAGGACCGCCAGCCCGACTTGCCGCAGACCCCTATCACGACCGTGAATGCTTCGAGCCCAAAAGAGGCAATGCTTTATTCCCCAATTGTCATTGATGGTTGATCCTTACCTGGAAGGCCCCCCAGACCTTGGCTAGCTCCCAGCAGTCACACGCGACGGTCCAGAAGGAGTGAATCATGTATCAGCAAACATTGTGCCCATGATCACATCTCAGCATGCATACAGTCCCTTGCTCATGCTTTCAGGAGTCTGTTGAGAGCGCAGAAGATCAAAGGAAGAAAGCAAATGCTGAGCAGACTTTGAGACGGATGTGCACACCCAAAAAGTCCGGCCGACTTGAGGTCAGCGCCGAGCTGCAGAAGGTGTGGCAAGCGTGCGGCCCTGGTCGGAAGCAGCTGGTGAATGCTCTTATTGCATGCAATGGAGACAAGGACACAGCCCTTTCATGCAGTTTGATGCCCCAAATCACTTTGCTTCGACCCCTGATGCCTTTGACATTCATTATCTTTGGGATAGGGCTTTTTGTTCGCAGTGCTCAGGAGGCCTTCAAAAAACGCGTGGAACACCAGCTCTCCAAAACCAGGCGGAACAAGACGACCGTTCAGGCCGGCTTTTACACCAAAGATAAAATGAAGAAGGTGCTGGGCTTCTCACCGTTCGATGCCCAGATCTTGATTGCACCAATGTTGCATGCATGCGCTGTTGAAACTGCCCCTTTGACACCACTTAGGGATCGCATCCGTGCAGTCGTGAATTTCTGCACTGACCCTCGCCGGCGAGCAAAGTTCGTCAGGCGGCCATGAAAGCAACCCCAGTCCTACCTGTAAACATGCCACATGTCTTGCGTAGGCGTGATTTATACCAGAGCCACGTCAAGCACTACTGGGTGGAGGAACAGGTGACGGGCACGTTCGAGGTTGAGGAAAGCGAGGCATTTCATGAGACCTCCATCGCAGAGGGCGATGGTGACACTTCCCTGACCCTTGGTGGACCCGCTGCAAGCAGTGACCCGCTGGACTTGCCAGGTTCCAGCATGGCTGATTCCCCGGAGATTAGTGAGGTAGAGGACGAGGATGGTACCGAGAGTTCGGCCCCCCGACCTTCGAAAAACGATGAGGTCAAGCAAGAGCTGGCTTTGGAGGCATTGGTTTCCTCTTATAGAAGCCATGCGTGACAAACGTTGCCTTCACATGCCTGTGCTCGTCAGCCCCAGCCAGCCTTGTCAGGCCGCCGAGAATGCAGCAGAGGTGATGGCGAAGCTCCTCAAGGTGCAGGGCCGGATGCAGGAGGTGGCGGACAAGCTTGTTGCCTTGAAGGCCCCAAATGCCAACAAGCAGTCTTCTAGCTGAATAGTGGCCCGCATAGTAACATCGTGCATCATGTTGAGGGCTGTGCTCAACCATTGCCATGTTTGCTTCTAAGGGCTTCGGAAAATGTGATGGGGTTGATCGACAAGATGATGGGCTTGCATGATGAGATGGCCGATACCAAATCTGAAATCGATGCTTCTGGAGGACAAGCGTCTGAGATACTTGGGAAGCACTCATGCGCCCTGTGATTTATTCAGTGGTTGCTTGAGTAATGCATGACTGAGGAAATGCCTTGAACAGTTGAAGAATATTGTGAAACGGGTGGACTCTGTGTGCCTCAGCCGATGGTAGTTTGTTCATGGATGTTCATGGGTTGCGTTTGCCCCTGATCTGTTTATGGTATACCTTGCATTGCCCCAACTGTATCGATCCTGCAGGTGCTCCCGGGCACTGAGCGAAGAGATTAAGCTGAAGAAGCCCGCATCCTAGATGTATCGCATTTGCTTCAATGATTCAAGTTTCATGGCAATCGTTAAAACACCATCGAACTTGCATGATTTATTACCAATGGTGAGGACAATCCTCAAGCCCAAGCCCGCCCCGAAGCCCAAAAAGTCAGCGGAGAAGCCTGAGACGAGCCCTGCTGAGCCCAAACCGGCAAAACGCCGAACAAAGGCTGAAGGGGGCAAAAAGAAGGCTTCCAAGAGAGCCAAGCAGTAGAAGCACTTGCTGCAATGATGGGTGAAACAATGTGAAACACATGATGAGGATCCACTTTGTCAAAACATTATGGGGCATGTGATTCATCAGTTGCGCGATGGCAGCACTTGCTTTGATCCACGCTTACATGTTTCAGGGGTCTTGCAAAGGCTTCAATGAGGCTTTTGCTCTTTCTGTGCAGTGCAACTATCAAGTTTGCCTTGCAAACAGGCAATCTTAGGGGCTGTAGCGCTGCATATCACGGGGTGCCAAGCGAGGAGAAAAACCGTCAGTGCAAGAGCCATGGACATGTTTGAGCTTGCTGAAAGGGTTGCATGCTGCAAAGAATACACGGTTGTAACTTTCAGTGCCAGCCCAAGCCCACCCTTCCCCTGCGTCAGGCTCCTGGACGAAGACGAAAGCTGGACCTGCCGGCAAGGCATTGGCAAGGGCAGTTGCAAACGGGGCAACTGGGCAATACGATTGTCAATTTTCCTTGCAAAGCGGCTATGTTAATTTGGTATCTTGTAGTTCCTGTCAAAACATGTATACATACTCACCTCTGTGTCCATCTTGAATCATCTTGATGTGTTATGGGTAAGGGGTCACATCTTTTTTGGTGGAGTCGAGGTAAGTGAGAAGGAAGCTTGTGAGATTGCAGATGCCTTCCTGCAAGAACGTTCTGCTGAGGGCATGGAATCGGAAGGTCTTTTACAAAGTATGAGTCGTTTGCATCAAACCGGGCATGAGGCAAGGTTGTTTTCTAGCTTTGAGAAGGCTGGCTTGGTGGCAATGGTGACCTGCCAAGACGTGGATTGCGGCGCTGGAGCAGAGGCCCACCCAGTCCTTCCAATCAGGGCCTTCCTACAGTGCCTTCATGAAAGCAACAAGTTGCACTTGATGATCACTGCAACGTCAGAAGTCTACACTGATTTTTGGAAAAAGTATCGTCCTCACAGGCCAAATCATCCATGCTTCAATCTTCGAGAAGAGCATGAACTATCTTCATGCGTACCCCTTCTGATTCATGCTGATGAGGGCACAACCCTCAAAAAAAAAGGGATGATGATTTTGCAGTATCAGCCCTTATTTGGGGCGGGCTCTGCAAGAGCGAACAGTTTGAACATGGTGGGGAATTCGCTGACAACCCGCTTCTTGTGGAGTGTGATGGCCGCCCGTGTCTACAACAAGAATGGCAGCGCGCTGCTACTCAAACTTTCAGAGCACTTTGCAAACGAGCTGGAATCCCTTTGTACTCACGGAGTTTCTTTCGATGGGCGCCGCTATTGGTTCATCCCCTTAGGCATGAAGGGCGATTGGCCAGCACTCTGCAAACTTGGCCAATTGACGAGGCACTTTCTTCGGAAGAAAACCACTGGTGGGAAGACAAAGGCTGTTGGCCTGTGTCACCTTTGCAAGGCGGGCCAGAACGACAACCCTTGGCACATCACCGAAGAGCAACACATGGACATGCTTCATGAAGAGGTAGGGCTGCCCTGGACCAAAGCATCACCCTTCACTCGCATTATCCCACAAGATCCTGACTCAAAGCCTCAGTTCTACAAAGTGGACCTGTTTCATACACTTCACAAAGGAGTTTTTGCAGACGTTGCTGCAAACGCAGTCGAGCCTTGCAGGTCTTGGCAATTTTCTGGTGCATGTTTAAGTGACTGGCTACTGCATGTGCATGGACCCCAGGGTTCTTAACATTGCCAACTCAACCCAGGTTACCATCATGGACTTCGATCTGATGGGCAGTGGTAGTGTGCCTGACAAGCTGGATGTGATCTTTGATGATCTTCAGCGGTTCTGCCGTGAGCGTAGCTTAACGTTGCACATGAGCAAGTTGACAAGAACAGCCTTGAGCTATGACCGAGAGCAATCCTTCCCAGCGGGGTTCCTTGGTTTGGATTTGGAGCAGCTGACCCAAAGAACCATGTGTTTGTTTGCCATTGATTGGGTTCAACCCCAACAGATTTTAGCTTGGTGTGTCTGAGGTCGTGGTTTAAAGGTGCGGACACAACCTGCCTGTGCATGTACTTGGAAGACAAGTATTCGACCCTCATTGCCGACAACCCTGGTCACGAACACATGCTGCATTTGTGCAACATTTTGGAGGCTTTGAAAGCTGCCAACGCATTTCTGAAGACGCTCTACCATGCCTCCGTGTGGCTTACTTCGCATGAGCGGTCCCTCGCAATTTCTGCCTGCAATGCTTTCTTCAAGGCATTTGCTGCCTGTGCAAACTATACTTATTCAATCGGCAAAACAAGGTTTAAATACCAGCCAAAGTTTCACATGTATGCGGAGATTGCTTGGCGCCTCCGAAAGGAGATGTTGGCTGGCCTTTGCAGCTTGAATCCAGTGTGCGAATCCACACAAATCGATGAAGACTTCGTTGGGCGTGTGTCAACGCTGTCTAGGTCTGTGTCGATTAGGACTCAACATTTCAAAACCTTGGAAAGGTACCGGTTGGGATTGGCGGCAAGGTGGTGAAGTTCAAAAGGCTATGAGATGAAGATGTTGCGACCCTGTCCCTGTCCCCTTTGCGAGCCTCCCAGCCGAAGCAAAGGTAGCATGGCATGGCCTTGGAAGTTGACTGAATGCACTTGCCGAATGGCAAACACATAGCTATGGCATGCTTGGTGAAAGAAAAGGCTCAGCGCCTGGCGGGCGAGATGTCCAGGCTGTCGAGGGGGTTCTTGATGCATCTCAAGGCTAGGGAAATGGGGCAGGCGATGTTCTTGTGTTCCCACATGCGCTAACACACTATCAAGATAGCCACAAAGTGCTCTCTTTTGCAGTTGCCTGTTTTTATAGGCAACTTGGCTTTCCAGGTGGGATATCGTCCAGCCAATTAGATCTGGGCAATGGATGTCCATCCTCATGGCCTTTCTTTCAGATAGAAATGGACCAGGCATGCTGCATCATTTGGGCATACAAGACTGTCTACCCGGTGTCTCTGGAAAACGGACGCCACTAAAAGGCCTTTTTGGTGCAAGATCTGGCGCCTTTCCAATGAGGGTTGACTGCTTCAGTAGTGAGAAGAAACCACGAAAGGTGGGCTAGGCTTTGATCCAAGGCTTGATGAAAAGGCCAATGCAAGGTAGGACCAACCACTGGTCAAACCATTGATCCGGAATGCCGACCGCGGATCAAGAAACCAAAGCAGATTCCTACGCAAAGTCATCCGAATGCCCCTCGAGGAAACAGCTAAATATCTTTGTCAAGAGTTTAGTCCTCAACCGGGATTCAACGCACCAAGGGGGTTCCGTCATCAATCAACTGCGTTTTCAGTCGTTGATTGTAAAGGGAATTTGAACAAAGAGAGCCGCCCACTGCAGGTCCGGAGTTCAACATCAGTACACTACCTGCCCGCTCCAATTTTTCATGCTAGGGTTCCATTCAGCTGGCGTTCTGTCTAACAGTCACACCTGGCTTCGCCGTTTTTTCAGGGGCCCCTGCTTGGCCCCTTCGCCCAATCTTTGAAGCAAACCCGAGTGCCGAGGCGCCGCAATGGGCTGATCTCCTTGGAAGGCCAACTGGAAGCTCACGCGGTCACCAGCCTTGAGCCCACTCCTCCGGCCGGGGAAATCCCCGGGGTCTCCAACCCGCTTCGGTGGCCCTCTTGAGGAGCCGGCACCGGGTAAATTCCAAAACTGCCCCCAAGAAGCATTTTGTCGGGTGCGGAGCTTTCTTGACATGGTGGTAACGGCGCACATGAACCCTGGCAAGAACAGCGACGCAGGATGGCAAATGTGTACAGATTGGAAGCTCGTCGAGTGAATAGCCGAAACATTTCTCGGCCTATGCTGCACTGGTGTGTTAATTGCTTCTCGGACAGCGATAGCAAGAGGTGTCCAAACAAAAAACGTGCTCCACATACTCACCCAACACAAATTATTGGGGACAACGTTAGGTCTCCACAAAAGACGTCCATACGCCACGCATACATACTCATACAAAAGACGTCCATATTGGGGACAAATCCTGCGAGTACACGCATATTTCCCCCAATGAATCTGTGCTGGTCTCCCACAAAGGCTAAGAAGCCTTGCAGGCGTTGTGGCGCCCGTTTCGTTTCGGATGCTAGCGAGCAGTGAAAAGGGCAGCTCAAGTGGCTGTGGGTCAAAGTAGGGCAACTTAAATGGGTTGCACTGGTTATTAAGTGGAAACACAAACTAAAAAACCAGCGGTTCACATCCTGGACAATCCTGGTGTTCTTATTTTCACCCCTACCCAACGATTTTCCTGCCGTTTGTCGTACCCAAACAAGCTAACGTGATTTGTGTCCCGTGCCATGGGCCGAACCCGGATGCGCAAAGCCAATGGGTGCTTGGGACCAATCCACGTGGGGACCTCCGGCGACCGGATTGCCTTTGGTTAAACATGGCGGTCGATTTGCACGTGTGCACGTGGGTTTGCCTCAAAACACAACACGAAAACATGGGTCGCTTCCTCTTTCATTCCTAGGTCCTCCAGTAGAGAGGTTCGAACAAGGGTACGTTTTTTTTCTGTAGTCTGTTTTAGTAGGGGAACCCTCCCCCCAAAAAGAGTAAACGGGCACTACTGAGGGACCTAGATTCCCGTTGAAACACACCCAAAGAGGCGTAGCCTCAAAAAGACATGCAGGGCCTTGCGCATCGAGAGGGATTCCCTCCAACAAACGCCGCATCCCCCTATCGATCCACATCAATCCACCAACCGGTTTCCAAGGAAGGCGTGGCCCCGTTTCACCGAAATCCAAAACCTGTAAGGGATCTCCAAGTACAGACCCTACATACCCTCCTCCAGGCGGTTCCATGGAAGCTCCAGGCTTCTGGGTATCCAGTGAACATGGGACCTTCCTGCTGTTCGTCTGAGGGAGTGTAGTTCCAACAGAGGAAACTAAAAAAAAAAAAAACTTAGGCAAATGGTAGATATTAATACACTGGGGGTTCATTTCTATGGGGTCAACATTAGTTGAAGCGCTGAGACCTCCCCGAATCGCTCGCTCGCTCGGCCGAGGTGCGCTTGGCTGGTGGGGATGGCCACGCTGCAGCGCAAGGCCTCCGTGATGGCGGGGCAGTCGATGACCTCGAAGCATCCAAGGCAAAGGCGCGCCCCAAAGCAGCGCAGCAGCGTCCTCCAAGGAAAAAGGCCTTGAAACCAATGTTGGTTCTCACTTACCTTACGTGTTTGTGTTTTGAAGCAATCCCCGGAAGTGTCGGAACAACCTCATGTTAGTCTCTCTCAGGGGAGGGTTCATTCTTGCACCCTTGCCCAACCCAAGGTTTCAAAAAAAAATGCAAGGTACCCCACCCCCCCCAAGAAACCGATATCCCTGCATCTCCAGGTCTGCTACAAAAAATGGCAGACTCCAAACATAAATCAGATCCCCTAGTCCTCTGCAATCAGTAGCGGGACACCACAGGAAAGCCACAACCATCTGAACAAGCCTGGGATTAAGGCTAACTTGTGAAGGACCCTGCGTTGCGGTTTCGCTTCACGCCAAACAGTGGTAGCTGACAGTAAACCAACTTTGATGCCAACCCCCGATGAGAAGGTCATTGAGGATACTGTGTGCCAAATCAGGACAGAATGCCGGCGTACGGCTAGAACTTGGGACTCCGAGTGCAACACATCTCAGTGAACACATAGCATTGCATTGCAAGCCCGATGCCAAACTGCAAGCTAAAGCAAAGCCTTTAGGCCAAGATGCAAAATCCTCCGACACGCCGCCTACGCCGAAGCTATGCGCAATGGAAATTGTGTCCCTTTACCCGGGGCTTTTCCGCAATCCGCCTAGCAAGACTTCCATATGCATGCCGCGTTCTCAAGCAAGAAACATGCAACCAGCCATGGGTTTGCAGTGATCGTGGCAGTCAATAGAGGCGTCTGGCTGATCCCGGTGTCCCAGTGTTCTATTCAGGCCTCATGTCCCTCCCAGCCTCCCACCAAACGATTCACAAATGGGTGGCCTTTGTCTAATGCTGCTTTGTGGCTTCTCCAGTAACCACCAAAACAGGGCTAGATTGGAAACAACGGATCCTTGAAGTGAAGGACATTCATGAGTGAGCATGGGGCTTGTCCTAGAGCTCGTTAAGACAAATTGCCAGCTCATCCGAGTGGCTGGATACCTTCAAGCCGATGGCAACAGAGCAGCATAAAACCTCAAAGCCGTTGGCCTCGCCAGAAAGGAGATTCCTCTAATCAGGGGGTTCTGGATACGTGAGAATTTGTTCAGGGCTGGGTAAGGGTTCCTGATAAGTCCAACCTAAAAACAGCACCAAAAAGGAAGCGCACTGTGGAATTGGCAGCAAAAGGTGATGTTTCAAGCTACCCCAAAAAGGAAATATGGGGACCCTTGTTATAGGGAATCAGGTGATCAAGAAATTAAACACACAATTGCCCCGGTTCAGAGTCTGAAGCAGGTGCTCTTTCAACGTCTCGGTTCAGCTGGGATGGAAGTACCTTCATGGTGAGCTCGTGCTATGTTCAGATGAGCTCGCCATAAAACAGGCAGAAGAATCCGTCTGATGATATATGGCAGCCTACGGGGAGGCTCATCTTCGGCGAAACATGATGCCCAAGATCGGGGGAACCTTCCGCATGGGTGGCTTCCTTTTGACGTCCCACAAAGACCATCAATAAAAGGGGCCCCCTGTCTGCCATGTCCGTACAGCACTCCTGGTAGCTCCGAAAGGCTCCCTCCTTAAAAGCAACTTTGGATACCCCGGCTCCGAGGCTCCTTTCCAACAACCAGCTATGTTTCTGAGACAGGACATCCACCGGAAGGACGAAATGGGGTGTACACTCGCCCGACAGCTTCATTGTTCGTTGGGGTTGACGGTCGAGAACCCGAAAGGAGGGGCACCTCAACCTCCAATCAATCCACACCACGCATTGCAGGCTAGCTATAAATAGGAAGCCAAACATGTTGATGCCCTCCCTTTGGCGGCTCAAACCATTACACTATAACGGCTGCAAACAGCCACATGTGGATTTCTCGTTGCTGACAGCTATTTTGCAGTGGTGTACCTGCGCCCTGCTCAGCTGACTCAAGCTCCTTTAGAGGCTTGAACTCGTATGTATTGCATGTTGTGTCCAAACCGCTTCAGCGAAAACTCATCAGCGCCAACATGAGTTCGGGTCAACCACCTACACCAAGTACCTGGACAAGGGCCCGCCATTTCAAGCGCTCAGAAAGCGTTCCTATCCACTTCCATTGCTGGACGGATGTTGAACGGAACGGATGCTGAACTTTCATTTGGGTCCCTTCTTGTGGCTCTCGTGGGACGAAGACCATGGAACATGACTGACCGGGCTGTGAACCTTGCGGGCTTTCGACCAGGCCCCGATGTCGACCTTGGAGTTCTCAGCCCGGCGGGTTGAAATGAATTTCTAGCGGCCGCTCTAAAAATGGGTTGCACCGCCCAATCAAAAAACTAGAGGGTATTGCTTGTCTTAGTCCTGGGTTCTCAGTAGATTTGGCCCTTTTCAGGATGTCCTTTGGGTGAGCCACCCACTGAAAGCTGACCCGATTTGGTGAACCCATTCCGTCCCCGTGGCCCTGCCTGGCAAGAAGCGGGCCTGGTCCAAGCTTGGGCACACTGCACACGACCCACCATGTTGTCAAAACACGCAAACATGCCAACAAGCGAACAACGCACACACACACACACAGAGAGAGAAACTTGCAAACACGCCAACACGCAAGCATGCAAACACACACACACACACACAAACACAAACAACACACACACACAAGCACACAAGCGCGCGCACACACAAACAGAAGCACACAATCGCACACGCACACGCACAAGCACAAACAGCACACACACACACAAGCACACAAACACACAAACACACAAGAACACACACACACAAGCACGCACACACAGAGAAGCACACAAGTATACACACGCACAAGCACACAAGCACACAAACACGCAAACACACACACACAGAGAAGCACACAAGCTCACAAACACAAGCATGCACACAAACACAGAACCACGCAAGCACACGCAAAGAGAGAGAGAGAGAGAGAGACAGAGAACCACAAGGCACACACACACACAAGCACGCACGCACACAAACACACAAGCCCGCAAACCCACACACACACACACACGCAGAAGCACAAAAGCTCACAAACATGAAAACACACGCACACAGAAGCACGCACACACACAGACACAGACACAGACACAGACACAAACACACACACACACAAACACACAGAGAGAGACACAGAGACACAGAGACACAGAGACACAGAGACACAGAGACACAGAGACACAGAGACATAAACACACAGAGAGAGACACAGAGAAACAGAGACACAGAGACACAGAGACACAGAGACATAAACACACAGAGAGAGACACAGACACACAGAGACACAGAGACACAGAGACAAACACATGTTCACATTTCTCACTTGCATTCAAGGACCAAGAAACAAACATGGTCGAGCTTCTGAGCGCTTGACTCAACAAGGAAGTTACATCGGATCCTTGGACAAGTCGCCCAGCCCTTTTCCCCTCAACCATGAAAGACATGAACACCATTGCGTTGCTGTTGACCCCCCTGCAAAAGGCTTAACTTGTTGGGGGTTTAGTGAAAAACACCTTTCTCTTCCAAAAAGTTTAAGTCTAAAGATCCAACCCAATGGCAATCAAGATTGGGAGGGCGCCCCCACTCTCTGCCCGTTGGCTCTGGGAAAGCGGGTGTGCTCTTTTGGGAGAAACCCGTGCCTTCATCGATTTCCAAGCGGAACCCAGAGGCAACTAAGACTGTTGGGCTCGAACTTTGAGGCAAACCCACATGGGTATGGGCCAAAATTAACCACCAGACCACAGGTTTTGGTCCATGCTGCCACTTGCCAGGGCAAGCCATTTGGGGGTTACCCCATTTTTGACCCTCAGCCATATCTCCAAGCTCGAACGGGCCAAGACTCAGGAACTAAGGCTCCAGGAAATTCTGAGGCCAACACACTCATGTTTAGCTCCTCTTTGCTAGATAGGACGTCGCCTCTTCTTTTGTCATAAACCAAGAGGGGCAAGGGGGAAGGAAGCTATCACATATTAAGTCCTAAGGCCTGATTTCAGGGCAATCCAGAGCTTGCCCCCCAAATCCCGCTGCTACCAAACACTAAATACATCCGCTCCAACGAAGCTCATTCTCACTTGCCCAGAGTTTGGTGTGTTCTGGCTTCAATTTGGGCTCACTTGCCCAAACCTGGAAACACAAGGTCAACCTTTTGGCACCTCTACTAAACATCTAGGTCCTCGAGTAGAGAGGTTAGAATAAGGGTACCCTTGTTCTGTACTCTATTTTAGTAGGGGAACCCCCCAAAAAAGTTGGTAAAAGGGCACTACTGGGGAACCTAGCCAGGGACCAAACTGGGAAAACCAAAAGGTCAAAAGGTCGGCTGGCAACTGAGTAGCTCAGATCTGTCCATTTCCGGGCCTCCTCCGCATGCCGCACCAGGCCGCTCAGGGTCTTGCGATTGAAGCCAAGCAGCTCAGCCAGGCAGGCGGCGCCTGTCAATGTGTCTTGCCACCTACATGGGTGTTTGTTGTTTTCGATGGTATAGTGCGCATCAATCAGATGGCACTTTTTCATTGACGACACAGATAGCACATCACTGTGTTGGCCGGAATGCCCCCATTTGCACCAAGACACGGCCAAAATGTCCTTTTTGTTTTCGATGGTACCCCGTTTGGGGTTGCTTTTTTTTGTTCTCCGGGGGGAACCAGAAAGGAATCGCCTTTTGAGGGGTTCCCTGCTATTTTTCATTAAAACAAAAAAAACAAAAAAACGATCGGAGCAACAAGGAAGCAAAGGGAACCATGAGTTTTGACCCCCGTATCCATATATAACATATGACATAAGTTCAAGCGGTATCCCCAAAAGCCCCGGGAACCCCCTACAACCCTCCAAAGCCCTCCCTGAAAGCCCCAAACCACCCCAAAGCCGATCTGGGAAGAGACCAAATCCATAGCTTTCAGCTATGGAAAAGGCAAACTTTGGCCTCAAATATGTGTTTTTTGCTTTTTCTTTAAGCAGTGTGCGGATACGTGTTTTTTGTTGGGCAAAAAAAAAACGAGCCCATCGCCTAGCTGGTCCAGTAGCTCCTCACCCCTGCGGCGCAGGCATTTGGAGGCATCGCCTGCCAGAAAATCGCCAGGCAACCGGCGACGTTTGGGGTTTGATCAAAAGATATCAAAAACAGCTTCTTTTTACCCACAGGCTGAGCGGATGGCCCAAACATAGTGAACACACTTTAGATATTTACCACTGAAATGGGTCTTCCCGAAAAGTTTGAAGTTCATGAACTCAGCAATTGAGTACATGGGATGACCATCAGGGAAACCAACAACATGACATTCCCCACACGGGAAAGTTACCCGTTGTCACGCGGCTCGGCCAAACCCGATTGAGAAGATACAGTTGGTGGTAACAGCAAGAAGAGCCACAATGAGCGACACAATCATTGTTTTTCCCGCCCCAAGATGTTGTCGATCATAGCCGTCAAGTGGCCTATGCAAGTCATCAAACAAGGAGGGCATCTAGCATGTCCATGAGCTTTTGGGGCCAGGAATATTGATCAACCCCCATTTCAATAAGGGACCCGAAATGATGGACATCATGTTGGTGAAATTCATGTCCACCAAGCATTTTTGAGGGGCCCGTTTCAAATTTCACAGCCGCTTGTTGGCACTTCTGCAACTAGTCAAATGGCATCTTCGCTATCCTCACTGCTCCTTCCCGCCTGCGGACGGCACTTCTTTCTCTGCCTCGGTCCTGAGTCAGAGTTGCCGGCACGTCTCGTTTGAAGGAACAAACGCTTTGCAACATTTGGAGAATCACTCATAGGGTCGTCTAAAAGCCCAAATGTGTGGTGCTGCTTTCCCTAAGCCAAAGGAACCCTGATTTTTATGTCCAGTGAAGCCCTCAGCTTTCAGAGACTGGGCCCCCCTGAAGGTGCCGGTAGGTCTCAGCTCCACAGCATGCAAAACAGTCACATGGCTCGCAGTAGATTCCATGTTCACAAGCTAAGCAGCATCATGAGAGAAGACAGTCGTGCAACCATAGTGCCTCACCTAGAGAACGGACGAAGCCTACTTGTTTGCATCCTCATGCATCCACAGTGTTGCCGGGGAGACATCCAAACATTGACGTGAAAGTTCAAGACTCTGTCATGTCATGGAAAGTTGACATGAAACCTGAAGAAATCTCCTAACCCCGCCACCGCCACCGAAGCTTGCATGACAGCACGTCTTCCTTCCAAGTAAAATGTGAAACCATAAGTTTTACCCACAATGGATTCCAACTTAATGGGTTCTAGAGTGCTACACGCATGATTGTCCTTTGCAAGCGATCCGGAACCCGATTCGTTGAATCTGTTTAAGTCCCCGACTGTTTCAACCAAACTGGCCTATGTGATTCGAATCTAACCGAAACCGAAATCCATCGATTTCTACCAAAGTGGCTTCCATTTTTTTGGTCACCCACCCCCCCCCAAAAAAAACAAGCAAACAAACAAGGGACGCTGGCAAAGCGAGCAGACTTTTGTGTGCATGTGTGAATTCTCGAGCATATCCTTTTTGGCGGTGCTGAGAGGCGAAAGCCAAGGACGCCGAAGCGACCATTGTCGGACACCCTTTGATACACCTGTTTGGGTGTCTTGTTTAGCCTCCCCCCAACAAAACACACACAATAATTATTGTTTATTATTATTATCATTTTTAAGATTGTGTTAGTTGTTGTTTTTTTCAGATTATGTCGCGTTCCCTTTGAAGGCCACAAGAAAGGGGTACCCCGAAAACCAAACAGACCCAGCTATCGGATCGATTCCATGTGCGAGGCGCGGCAGCTCCAGCTTCTTCGCCTTCCGCAGGATGGCCTTCAACACTTTGCCCTGCTTCGCCTAGAGTGGCAAGGGATCTCCAGGGGCATCCGAGAAATGAAAAAACCGACCATGTTCAGGAGTTCACTCTAGTTCAACACACACACACACACGTTTTGGGTCTTGTTGATTTCTTCTTCATTCTTTTTTTTTTGGGGGGGGGGGGTAGGTTTGATCTTTAGCCGGGGACACGAAATGGTGGACATCATTTGAATGGAGGCTTGCTTCTCAGCCACTTTCAAGGGGGTCCGTGTTAAAATTCATAGCTTCGAATCCTGTGGCTCCTTTTCCACCTGAGACAGCAGAGTCCCTTGCAGCCGATGTAGCGTTGGCCTCCTGAAAATAAAAATCTCAGAGAAAAAAGAAGAAGAAAAAAGCAAAGGTGATGGCCAGAGTCTCACACGCGATGTTGGAGAGACCGCGCCTCTGGATACGACCAAACCTGAGAAACTAAGAATTCCAGAACTCAGAGGGTTCACCTAGTCAGGATGCAATTGTTGGGTCAAAAATTGGAGGTATATCCAAGGTACTTGGACCCTTGGGCGGGAATGGTCTAAGACCTCCGTGCGGAGGCAGCGGACGTGGGAGTGAAATGCAAAACATGCCGTTGGCTGAAGAAAGCAACAGACACATATATATATATATATATATGTGTGTCTGTGTTTTTGTAGTGGACCCCCCCAACAGGTGGGTTTCCTTTTCTTGTTTCCCTTAGAAACCACAAAAAAAAGGAACCCTCAAAAAAAGACAGAGCCATATCACATCCTTGACGGTTGCTCGGCTGTTTGTCTTCCACCATAGACCCCAATGGGGAAAGAGGGCGCCTGAATTTAAACAGAAATTCCCGTCCGACTAGAGCACAAAGGAGAGACGCTCACCTAGTGGGTGTCTGGACCACTTATTTTAGACACCCACTTGGGTGTCTGGAACTCTTAGGACACCCAGCCACCGGGTGTGAACCCTACGTTGAAACCTTCATCCAGCCAGCCTCTTCCAAACTGTTCTGCCGAGTGGCCAGCGAGAAGTTCTCCAGTGCCGGACTGCCGGGCGCACGCTCCAGGAGGACCCGCAAAGCACACACCTTCGTGTCGGGTGGGTGGGTGGTGTGAATTTGAGTAATCAAAACCCGGTAAAATGCTTGACCCAGAACCATGCAAGGAAGTACAAAGGCGGCCTCTGGCTGGGACTGTCCCTTGCTAACCTTCATTTACCCGGGTTTTGATTGTGGCTCATTTGGAGTTTGGAGGTTGGCGTGTCCATAGAATCCCACACCCAACCCTCAGTTTTCCCATGAGGACCTTGTGGCCTTTGGAGGAAACCCGGCCCTTTTGCGGTAAGAAGCAACCTCGTTGTATAGAAACGCGTGGTAGACAAAGGCATTTGTGACCATCTCAACCGGTCGTAATGAATTCATAGAGGTCGTATGTGTACCGTATACCCCTTGAACCCCAAGCGATGGCCGAGATTGGCGAGGCCAATCTTAACCCTTCAACTGGCTTAGTCCTGGAACCTCCCCAAAAAGTCAGGCAAACACGCGTGCACTCAGTCCTATACTTTCGGCACTCAGTACTAAACTTTCGGCAGTGATGACCATTCAGTCCTCTCTTTGCTGCTTACGTTGCTGGTTAGCGAGAGGCGGGGCGCCTGGGGGGGGGGGGGGTAGGTGTTTGGTGTGTTGCCCACATGTGTCTCGCTGGTTCCCAGGGAATCAACAGTTGCCCTTCACAGCGAAGTATCACGCAAAAGGAAACTCACCTATCGGCCCCAAAAGCTACGTGATGCTTAACGCAGCGCTGGGAAATATATGTATATAATATAGTTTCCAGGTTCTAGGACCCACTCATGGTACGCCCTCCTGTGATGTGGGGTTGGTATGTAGGTTCTCCAGTAGAGAGGTTACTAATAAGGGTACTCTTTTTGCTGTAGTCTATTCTAGGGGAACCCTCCCCACCAAAATAGAAACGGGAAAAGGGCACTACTGGGGGACCTAGGTTTAGGACACCAGGAGGCAAGCCACCGCCGAGCAGCCGAGTGCTTGACCATTTCCACCTGCCGCGCATCGCCGCGCAGCGCCGCCGAGACCACCGCCGTGCCGTCGCCTGCGCGAAGCGATCAAGCGACAGGGGACGAAAAAACGCGCCAAGGGCTGATGGAGATGTGGGTTTTGATGGCGTCTTGGGGATTATTTTGGGCGGTTTAAAGGAAACGCAAAAAGCAGCCACTTTCGCTGGATTTGGTGCACACGAAAGTTCCGGTTGCTTGAGGTAAGTCTTGCAGAACCAGCAAATAACTTTGGCATAGGTGCTTTTTAGGGCTCGCGTACGGGTTGGTTGCAAGTTTCCCAGGGATTCCGCTTGGGGAGTGCCTGAGTTAAACCCTTGACACAGTCGGTTCAGTCTCACACTAGGACATACTAGCACCCTTTCAAAGGATCGTTCGAATGCAAACGACATCAGGCCAAGTGTCTGCTCAATTTGGGGGCTCCGGTGGCAGGACTCCTTCTACTTCCCACCAAAAATCACCCCACGAAAAGGCAACTCACTCTGAATCGACTCAAAAGGCTCCCTGGATAAGGCCCCAAGGAAAGAAATGTAGCCTTGAAAGGTGGCTCTGCCAGCCGGCAGCTACTGCTCATTTTGACCCATGTGAAGGGACTCCACATTTCGAGATTCAAATTTGATCTGATCCCTAGGGACCCAAATGATGTAAAACAACTTTCGGATCAGCTGCGACCAGTGTCAACATGGTGACCTGACTCAGGGATCAAAGCTTGAAAGCCGAAAGGTCCTTTACAGTCGACTTCGTTTCGATTGATGCCGTGAAACCACCATGCCAGAGTCACCATCGGCATGTGATGCCCTGCGTTTTCTGGCAGCAACTTGGCAAACCTTCTCGTATGCTTGGTTCGACACCCTCCTTCCCTCCCGCCTGACACGATGCTGATGTCGAAATTTGCAGCCTGACATGATGGTTTGCCGCGAAAGCGAATCTTCTTGCAAAACGCACCACAAGAGTTTCTTCGGACTCGCACAGGGTCGCTTGGCATCTTCTGATGGAATTTTCCTCCTTTTGCCTCTCAGTTCAGCCAAAAAAATCCGAACAGATCTTCTGATGGTTTCCTCTTTGGCTCTTGGACAGAGGAATGACACTCCTGGGTTCAAAATAAAGGGATTCCCAAAGCAAAAGAAACCACCTAAACCGTGCCCCCCAAATAAAGGTCCCTCTAATAATCAAACTCGCATTTTCCAAGACCCTGGGGGCCCAGTACTGAACTAGAATAGTCCGGGTTGAAACCAGCACTAAACTAGCGTGTTTTTCCACTGGCCACTCTTCAGTCAACACCTGGGGACCCCTGCCTTCAATCACAAGAATGGACAGGGGGACCCTAACACATAGCACGATTTCCAGTTGTTTTGGTTGATTTTTTTAGGGCGGGGGGGCGACATTTTAGGATTTTGGGGGGAGCTCCCCGGGAAATAGGATCTCATGGAAGCCTAATCTTGGAATCCTCATCAGGCATTCTTTATCACAACCTGACTAAGATGTTATCAAGGTGGAATCAGCAGGGATCCTTACATTATGCACCTGAACATTGCAACTTGTAAATGGTGGGTTCCCTTTATTTTGGTGGGGAAGGGCCATGTTTTAAATGGTTGCAACATGGAGATCTTTTAAGGAGCCCTGATCAGGTAACGGAACCACCTATGGCCAATGCGGTAGTTGGGCGCTGCACATCTGGCACAAGCACGTTACTTGGCCCACATCTGTGATACACGGGAAAACCATATTTTGTGATTCTGCTTGAAATTTTGCTAACCCTAAAATATACAAGTTCGTACTTAAATCTGAGACCCCATCAGAAAATGGGGGTTTCGTCTACCAACATAAACTAGATTTACAGATCCAAAATCAAATCGCTTTCTTTGGATTCTTTTCCGAACATTTGTTTTGCAGGAGACCCCCAGACTACTCCACTCCGGCCGAGGGCATCCTCTTTCAGTCCAAGCAGCGCTGCGCCAGCAGGCAGCCAAAGCCGTCAGCCGGTCCTGAAACAAGCGGTCAACCCTAGGGATTTTGGGCTTCTCCCAAGAAGAGTGGCGCGCACCAAAACATAGGGGTTCCTTTGATACCCAAACAGGTGCCCTTTAAGAACACAAAACAACTCGTTGCACCCTGAGAAATGGCGGCCTTCCTTTATAACATCCGGAAAAACGCTTGTTCTCGAGCAACCTCAAAGAGCAATCAAAAGCCACACCCACACGCAAAGCCCTTTGGGCCTCACAAACATCTGCCCGTTGGTCTCGCCGAGCCCCAGAAACGAGCAACCCCATCTTGCTCAACTGCTGGGTTTCGCTCTCTTGCATGGCGAAATCATTTTGCAGTTCCGACAACAGTGGCCGGCTGCAACCGTGTCCGGCCATGTCTTGAGCCCATGAGGGGCCCCGGACACGTGCCAAGGCAGCCACATGTTGGATTTCGGATGAAGGTATGGATCGCTTGCTCTTCTAGGTCCTCCAGTAGAGAGGTTAGAATAAGGGTACGCTTTTTTCTGTAGTCTATTTTAGCAGGGGAACCCTCCCCCCAAAAAAGGTAAAAGGGCACTACTGGGGGTCCTAGTCTTGTTCTTGGGGGGAATAATGGGGCGTAGGATTCATACGGCCTTGGTTGCTTGGAGAGATGGGTCCCAGCGAGGGAATCCTGCACGGTTTGGCAAAATTACCCACCCCTTATGAACCCTGAAATTTGACCACCCCATTCAAATAATGCCAAGGACCCAATTTGGATGATGATACTTTGCAAAATGATGGTTGCATTAACCCTAACATTGATTGAATGGTGCAAGTCTCAACCTTTGAGCCATGTTGGGTCCAGCTTTGTACCAAAGCTAACTCCAGAGTGTCACTGAGGGCATTCCTGCCTAAAAAATCAGAAACTTGTAGTTTCCAGCTAGTTTCACCAACTTGCGCCAACTACAAAAACAAAGTAGGGCCCCGCAGAAATGCTGGGGTTGCCATTAGTTTCCATTTCACCCTCAAAAACACACCCACATAAGGGTCCGTGTCTTTCTTCGAACCGTAGCCGTTGCTTTGTCCGTTTGTCTTTTTGTCTGACAAAGCCTTGAGAAAAACAGTGTGTCAGGGTCCCCGCGAAACATAGTCGAAGTTCCTGCGTATTTACACATTGTAAAACGTTAGAAACATACATGTGTATACATGCGCATGTACAGGTGTACATATTCATATGTTCAGGTAACCAACCAACTTGAATGCGACTAAGAATGTTCACAGGCAGAACCCTCGCAAGTGGTTGGTGGACAATGGCCATGCCCATGGGTATCCCCAAAATTTGGCCCACTGAAACACACAGCGAAGTATTTGATGAGCTTTCACATTTACATTAACCATACTATCCTAAAATATGCAGCCGTTTTGGAGAACCCTAGGTTTATCTGCAAAACGTCGGTTCGAGCGTGTCTCCTTGTCCTTGCCTTTCTCCTTGGCCAGCATAACCTGCGATGTGAATCGACCGGCAGATCGCCGATACCCCCATCACACCACACAGACGATTTCGGGTCTGGCAAAGGTGCAATGAAACCAAACGAATGAGTGGCATGTTCAAGGTACCATAGCCGACCTGAGTACTTGGAAGGACATTCAAAGTGTCTGGTTTGATACAGAATGATCCCAGAAAAACGACAAAAAACAGGCTACATTTGTGGAAAGGCAGGTTTCCGGTTTCCTCCAAGATGTTGTGTGAATAGCCACCTAGTCCTGGTTAGTCGTGGGCATTGCCAAGGGGCCCCAGTGAATGTCTGGTTTCATGTGTGCCACGGTGAACACTTCTTATATTGGCCATGGTCATGGTTGACTTTGTAAGAATTTTTACCACGGTTGTCTGAAACTCCTACTCAGGAATTGATGATCACACCTACACCAACCCCAAGTAAAAGGATCTTTTGACTACAACTCATGTGGTTGAACTAAGAAACTTGCCAACCACCACCGGGCCCAGTCCCCGACATTGACACAATCCTGTTCAAAACCACTTCGAACAAGCATGGGAAATCCTCAAAATGACGGGACGTTTCAAAAAAGGTCCCTACCTTTTTCCTTAAACATCTTCCAACTCAAAGGAAACTCAAATTTAAAATTAAACGTCCGCCTAAAAAGGTGATGATTGAAACCACTAAAAGCGGCCATATAGGGACTCCTGTCAAACACGCGGTTTCATATTGAACAGTGAATCCAATACACAAGTATGCTGCGCCCCCCGACAAGGAGAAAACAAACATAGCAAACGGGTTCTTCTCTACCTCAGCGTTTGCCAGCCCTAACTAATCTGCTTGATTTGAGTCTATAGGCGACCTCAACATGTAAACCAGTAAAGCGGAGAGCTTTGCTTTCTTATGGCCCGGGAGTAGCAAGCCTGTTTCACCTTGCCTGAAAAGGTCATCATTGAAGTTTGTGCGCGGAAAAGAGAGAGAAAAAACAACAGCCAGGTTCTGCCCAGTGCGAAGCTCCCCCCCATCCCAACGAAAGCCCATGAGATACATGAATCACTTCCTCTAATGCCATTTGTTCTTCTAAATCCAAAGTGGCCGATACTAAATATAGAATGGAACAATGCTAAGCCAATAAACCACCGATTTCTCCTGATCCCAAGTGGTGGCTTATAGATATATATATATATATATACATATATATATATATATATGATCGCCGGAGCCTATCTGTGGACATGACCGAAGAGAACCGAAGCGGAAGGAACCGGGGCCCCCAAATAACCATACACGAACAGTCGCTGGGTGCGCGCGCGTGTTATTTTTTTGAGGAAGTATGTGCTTTCAAGAAGGGCACTAGTCTGAGCAAAAGGGCCCTCGATAAACGATACTCTAAGGGTACCTTCCGCATTCTTTCCAGGGATCCTTCTTTTTCGATAACCTACGGAAACCCAGGGAAAACGGCTGGTTATTGAAAAGAACGGCGGAATCAGCCCCTAGAAATACATCTACATTGTTGGGGTAGAAATGACACAGCGCACCAAAAAGCTTCAAAGACAATTCCAACTGCACAGCCAGTTCACAAGCAAGGATGATCCTTCCATCTTCGGGCAGATCCTGTTAGGTGCCCTCTGATGGCGTCCGCATGCTAAGAATGAGGTATGGGTACAAACCAACATGCAGCAGTATCCGACGAACAAATGGGCCTGCCCAACAGCACAATACAAACAAACGATGTCCATCAGCCAGAAAAAAAGCTCTCAATAACCCCAATCACATGAGCCAACAAAGAGCCAAACACCTAACTAGACCACCCACAAGATCACATTGTGGTCTGCCTTTACATCCGGCCGCGCCAAATGTAGGTGGCTCACTTTGTAGCCGATGGACGAGTAGTCGTCCTCGGTCCACTAGAGGAGAATTGAGGGCAACAGGCCGGAAATGCTGTTCCACAGCAAAACTGACAAGCTGCAAGCGGGCTGTTGGTGCAGTTGCGTTGAGGTTTCGCTTTTCCTGACACTAGCTTCAAGGACGAGGATAGGAGGGAGGGGGCTATTGCAAACCGCGGACCTGGATCCAGCGTTTCCAATGAAATCGGTGGTTCCCTTTCGTTGTCATTGCAACACCGCTCAAAAGAAGTCTCCCATGATTGTATCGCATGGTGCAATGTGGAGCGTTTGCAACTGTCCTTGCCCGCGATACTTGCGTGTCACAATTGAGGACCCTTCCAGAAGGACGGCTTTACGTATTTCCCTTTTGAACACATCCGAACAGGGCTTTAGATGCATGCCTATGGGACTTCCCCGTGCACTGGGGTGTGCCCGCCCTCTCAGCTTTCTTTCCCGAACCTACAGGCGTGCGCAAAAGTGTAACATCCCAGCCATGCGACTGTCCCCAACTTGAGTGGAAACTACTAGGCTTCCATTGTGGCCCAAGAGAGCCTAGACCGGCGATCCTCTCGAGAACGCCAAGATTCCTGTGCCAGCTGCCAAAGAGTACCTCAAGCGAAAGGAGGTACTCACTTGGCTATGAGTTTCATTGTTGGAACAATCAAAGTTGGTTGGTGGGCATGAATCTCCCCATGTGAATGATAATGTCTACCAAACGAGTTCACGCTAACCTGAAATCCCTGAGAGCCTGGTCGCTTACATCTCCTCCTATTGGGTTCATGAAACCACATTTTATCTACCAGCCATTGTTGGGATGGAGGGCCCCTTTTGCGGGCCGTTGACAACGAACTAGAGCAATTCAACCTGCCATAGCTTGCCCAAGATGATCATTTGCGACCACGGCTCGTTTCAGAAACAACCAGAGGGCAGCCCCCCCGCCATAGACTCCTTGGGGCTGTCCTCTTGTGGCAAAGCTACATGGCATGAAGCGAGAACCGAGTCAAGCTTTGCCAGCTTGGCAATCCCAATCGTCGCTTGCTCATTCCTTTTAGCATGGGAGCCCCTTCCCCAACAAATGGCAGCATGACCAACTGCAATTTTCTCTCCACTCATGTAAAATGCCAAACAATATGTCCACAGCAATAGGGGACTTTGAACCACCACTACCTCCAAGTCTCATAAGACAAGCCCAACATCTCCTGGAGTGAGCGAACTCCGAAAAGGGTACCGTCCAACCAACCTATCACACACTCCTCCAGCCAAAGCCTGGCCTGCAAAGAACGAACTTTCTGCTTGAAAGAAGATGTTTGAATAATTTTGCCAAAACCAACCAACCCCCAAAAAAAAAATACATGTTTATATATATATATATCATATCATGTTTGGTTTGCGTATATATATATATATACATTTACATATGTCGTGCCCTGAAAACCCGAGAAAAGACATCCCCCCCCGTTTCTCGCCGGGGGAAATCGCTGGAAACCTTCCCCGGCCCCCGCCCGGCCATCGCCGAGTCGTTCGGTCAGCGAGGCCAAGGTGCCCTCGCAGTCCGCGATGGCCGTCTCCGCGCCGCGGAGGCGCAAAGGCAGGAAGTCCTGCGTGCCGAGGTTTCTGGGGGGGCGAAGGAGCTGCCAAAGAGGGCGGGGGGGGAGGGGAGGAAGCTGGGGGAGGGAGGGAGGGAGGGAGGGAGGAAGCCCTAAAAGAGGCAAACAAATGGGCTTAAAAGCGAATTTGAGGGGGAGAGAGGGCGAGGGAGGCTTATTTGGAAGAAACCTCCCCCCCCTCCCCTCCCCAGACCCCATGATTCTGGTTGGCGGGAGACCGACCCCTCGGCCAAAAAGCGCTTTCTGTGAGGGAAGAGGAACCAACACATCTGGAGCTGGGGTTGAAAGAAGCCTGGAGTCTCCAGGACCCTTTAAAAATGGGTCCATGACCCCAGTTTCGGTACTGCCCAACCATTTTTAAAGGGTCATGGAGACTCCAGGAACGTTTAAACCACCAGCCTTTGCTCCGGGGAAACCGAACCTTGCTGGTTGGCTCCTCAAGTTGCTCGCTTTTGGGTCCACTTCGGTGCCTGTCTCAACGAATAGCCATTAAGAAGTCGGAACTCTTGGCCCACGGTCTTTGCAAGAAAGAAAAAAAGAACCTGGTCAAAAGTTGCAATACTGTGGACGAAATCCATTTCGCACAACCTAAGAATTTCTCAAATGATGGTTCCCCGATAAATACCAAGCAAACAACTGTTTCCCATGGTTTCAAAGTGGTGCAGGATTTCGTCCATCTACGGTATGCTTCTCTCTGCCAGCAAGGTGGGTGGGTTGCAGCGTGCAAAATGCCAGGATGAAACACGGTTTGTCATTTGGCTGTGGCTCAAACGCATGTACCAAAATTGCACCCTTCGCAAATGGAACCAATGACTAAAGCCTGCGTAACCCTAGCACTTTAATTTTGAGCCGCACCTATTTAGCAAGTTGGTCATTGATGTTCTCCTGTCATCTTTACCCCGGACTAATCAGACCATCATTTGGTCAACGTTTCCGTCTACCATGGACCTGCTTGAGGCTCTGAGCTGAGAACATGAATCGCGAACCGGAGAAAAACGAAAGGATCCCTAGGAAAGGCTTGCGGCTTTTATGGTTCATGCTCGGGAAATACCCCAGGCAAGCTGTCTAAAACTTGCTCAAAGTACGTAATACATCCAGTGAAGGGCTGTTCTTCAACCCTTTGGGGAGTTTAGCATACCTTGAAACAAAATCAAGAATCCTACACTTGTAGCCAAGCAGGCAGGCAGTCTTAGGACCACCCTGATCCAGTGGAATGCCCTTCGTTTGCGGTTCAGCGATAAAACCATCACGCATCATGGGTTGGTCTTCAACCCCCTCCAAGCAGTTGAACATATTCGATGCTTGTCCTGAACAGGTTAAACAGGCTCAAAGGTCGTAAACAAAGCAATCAAGGACCTACTAGATCCCTCTGGGCGTTGAACAACTATTGAACATGCTGAAGAACAAACCAGTTCACCAACCGAGAAAGAAACAACTGCCAAGAAAGCAACCTTCATGGGGTCGGCCAACTAAACCCAGATCCCTAGATTGAATGGATTGAATGGGGGGGGGGTCCTGGGACACACCCCTTGAAAACAAAAACTGACGCAATATTCTGCACTTGTCAAAGAGGGTTAGCATATTATGCCTCTCTGTACTCCCTGTGGACAAAAACCACTTGGCATCGGGTTGGTGATCCATCCACAGTATGGCAAAATTTGTTGTCTCACAATAGGGGACCCCAAAACTGATGGATTTCCTGTTGTTTCCGCCTCCAACAAGGGTACCAGCTCTAAAACACACCCAAATCCCTAAAGCGTCCATTCCAATCGCAACCCAGACGTTCTTCCGGGATAGCCTAACCACCCTCCAGTGGACTCCAGCTCCCAACTATAGCCTTGATAGGTAGCCCCGTTTCTCATGGATCCTTAGGCTAAGTAGAACGGTTGATTTCCTGGTCCAACCACATCCAACCCCAAAACCTATGTGAATCAGACGTCGTAGAGATTCCCTTGCCCATAACTCACAGATATTCCCTTGCCCCCGCCCAGGTGAAACACTCATTGCTCATAGAGATTTCCATTCCAACCCCAAAACATGTGAAGCATGGCAACTCGACTCAGAAGCCCAGCGGATTTCCATGGGGAAAAAAACACAAATCGGCATCTGTTTTTTGTTGCTGGTTGAGTATAAAGGAATCGGGACCCTGTCCCCCAAAAAAAGAAAATTGTCGCTCCTTGGGCACCTCCGGATGCTCGGAGTTGTCCAAGACCGTGATCTGCCGCCTAAGTAAAAAGCCGCCAAGGGAAAGCGCCGGAGAAGACCGACCAGGAAACCACTAGTACACTCAAACCTGGGCTCTCCGTGTTCAGATCCCCTGCAAAAGGTTGAAAATCACTGTTAGGGTCAAATGGAAACCCAACCACTAAACCAAGTAAAATCTGAAACACCAGGCAAACAGCCGGGAGCCGCCGAGGAACCACAAGTAAACTGCTTATATTCTCTGGTACACTTCTTAATAATTCCCCACAAGACCGTGGTGATTGTGGTTGTGGTGGCTACTGTGGTGATTCCAGGAAACGCCATGAGGCTTACCCCCAAACACGCAACCCTACTGTGGATGGACGAAACCCTGACCAGTTGGGAGGGATGTAACCCTATCAATATGGAGGGACAAGCAACCGACTAACTGGTTCAGGATGCTGTCCATCCACAGTATGAACAGCGTCTCTATTGTTATCAAATCCCAAATCGCGGGTTTGACCTCAGTAAACTCGACCCAAAGGATCTGGAAACCGGAGGTTCTCCTGAGATCTGAAAGGAATAATAACTGCACCAACCAAGAAGGCTATGTCATTTTTGGAGGCTATCCTTTTCAGATTAAAGGTCAGAGTAAACCAAAAGAAACACCGGTGCGCCGGTTTGGGGTTCCGGTTTAAATCCTTTTGATACAAGGCTAACAGATCGGCTTTGAGCTGAAAATTCGGGGGGTAACGGTTGGATGCGTCAAATCTTTCACGGCAGCCGAATGGCACTTTGCAGACCTCCTGCACTCGCTTGATCAGAGCTCCCTGGCAGCACAGCAGCCGGTTCCTGCCGGGCAGGCGAACGGTCCTAACACCCATTCTAGGCACGGGAGAATCATGTGTCATTCTTTAGAATCTGCAGGCCCCCATTGCCCACATCTGAGGTGCACACAAAACACAATGCTCGGACTCTGTTCCACTGGTCCATCCTATCATCCGAAATTGCTTTCGAGCCTGGGGGCCTTTTTGGGTATCCCCGGCACATCGACCGCTACAATGGATCAACCCGGAAGCGTCCCACCTGGAGACTTTCTTGCAGTATTCAGGGTCATTCACTAAGGGGCTGGGAAAAATCAATTTTGGAGGGCATCTTACAACCTCACAAAAGTCTGACGCTTCATGCGATGCCTTTGCCACTCCAAACCATGGCAAATAGCAAGGGCAAGTCCCAAGCAAACTCCGCATGAGATGACCCTTCCATCATGGAACATGGTCGGCTCCATATAGGAAACCTGCCCAGTGGAAGCTTGATGCGTGTGCATCAAACATGGTGGCTTTGTTTGCCTGCTGCTACGTGTTTGGCTTCATCGTGAACATGCCCCAACGAGGTTCCCTTTTTGTTCCCTTTCAACATCACACACGCAGCAAGCTCCAATCAACATTTTCCGCCCAAGTTGATGATCACCAAGAACAAAACATAGTGGGTCTTTTCAACTCAAGGGTGGACTCGCTTGTTTGATGGACAAAAGAGGATCCATTTGAGCGACTCTATAAACCTCCCATGAATCCCTATGTCGTATCAACTTGCTTACGCGCGAGCTTGCGCTTTCCTTACGCGACCCATGTTTAGCTTACGCGGCAGTCAGCGAGCATGTTAAGCTTACGCATGGCTTACGCGTGGGCGTTCTGAGCGTTTCCCCTCAAGAATTGCTTACGCGAGCTCCTCTTCTCATGCAGACGCCAGAGCTGATGACGAAGAACTACCCTCACGAGTTTCAGCGGCTTGGCATTGTTGTTATTGCTGCAAGACAAGAAACGGGTTATGCGGCAGCGGCATCCATCGCGAGGGCTAGCGGGCAGCCCAGCTAGGCGAGCTTACGCGGACCTTACGCGCCTGCTTACGCGAGCTTACGCGCCCGAGCCCCTTTAGTTTTCCTAGAGCAGCGGTTTCAGAAGCCTTTGTTTGTCCTAGTCAAGGTTGCAACAGCACCTAGCATGAGCCCCAAGAGCTCCCAATCAAGGTTCTGCTGGTTTTGTTTTCTTATTGATGTGCACAAGCGGTCTTAGACGACTTCCTGCAGCCAAAGTCTCCGGGCAAGTTGCCAAGCTCGACTAGGTTGCAACAGCACAAGCCACCAATAATCTCATAAGCACAGCTCTTCCGAGCATGCTTACAAAGCTTACCAAGCAATCACGAAGAAGAGCTTACGCAGGTGCTTACGCAGCTTGTTTCCCCAAAAAGTGCTTACGCCGGCTTACGCCTTGCAGGGTTTTGCTTACGCGGCGCCTTGTTATGACACAACTCTTGCTTGGGATGTAACGGGGGGTTTTTAGAGCTGCTCATTTGAAGGGACCCATCCATTTTGAGGGCACCACTTCGAAAGCACAAACACACACACACAGACACACACACACACAGACACAGACACAGACACAGACACAGACACAGACACAGACACAGACACAGACACAGACACAGACACAGACGCCCACGCCCACGCCCACGCCCACGCCCACGCCCACGCCCACGCCCCCACGCCCCCACGCCCCCACGCCCCCACGCCCCCACGCCCCCACGCCCACACGCCCCCACGCCCACACGCCCACACGCCCACACGCCCACACGCCCACACGCACGCACGCACGCACGCACGCACGCACGCACGCACGCACGCACGCACGCACGCCCGCCCGCCCGCACGCACGCACGCACGCACGCACGCACGCACGCACGCACGCACGCACGCACGCACGCACGCACGCACGCACGCACGCACGCACGCACGCACGCACGCACGCACGCACGCACGCACGCACGCACGCACGCACGCACGCACGCACCCACACACACACACACACACACACACACACACCCACACACCCACACACCCACACGCACGCACGCACGCACGCACGCACGCACGCACGCACCCACACACACACACACATACACACACATCTGCGATTAATGCGGACCTCCCCGAACATTCACTCCGTGTCTGAAACTCTACCCTCCCCAAGAGTGGACGCGGGTGGTTACTGATAAGGGTCGACACTTGGTTCAAGATAAATTTGTCACCCTCGTCCTGGTTGTTTAATGCATCTCCGCGTAGGGGGATCCCCAAAAATGAAGGTTTTCCCCTAAGGGGGTATGGGGGGCCGGCTATCCCTCAATAAGGCAAGGATCAGCCCTTAAAGCCTTATTAAGGGAGATATAAGCATAGCCCCTGTAGCCTTACTCACGAAAAGCCCCCGCCTGTTGAGGTTCCGGATCTCCACTATGCCTCGAATCCAGTGACGGGAAGGGCACACGCTGGCTATGCTTGGTGTCCAAAGGACTAAACATGGACCAAAATCGGAGAACCCAAAGGTTAAAAGGTCGGTTTTGAATAACAGAGACAAATGGTGGGTTACCTCTTGGTTTGCCAAACCCGGCCAACAGGAGCATCCTTTCAAAATCGCTCACAGGACAAATGCTTCGCAGATAAGGCCCAGGGAGGGGTGCTACAACTCGCCCGGATACCCCTGCATGGGAATGAAAGGGGTTCCCCTTGCGAATGAGTTGGGAAAAAACCTCACATTGAAACAAACAAAAAACGATGCCGCCTTAATGAGAAATTGCCTGACGTGCCGCATCGAACCACCAACTCCTCTGCGATGTGTCTTTATAAGAACTCTCTAACCAGATTTATCAGCCCCAAGAATGGGACTTGGATCTTGTCCTGAACTTCGAGGGAAAGCTGGAGTGCCATTTTAGCATTAAGATGCATTGAGCTTGTGCACATGAGTCTTTGCCAGAAAGGCCCACAGCTATCCACTCCCCAATATCATGTGGATTTTCAGCAAACAAAGGAACCATGCCCAAGCCTGAGCATGGCTTTCCCTTCGCACATACTCTGAATTCGATTCGTAACTAGAATGACCCGGTCTCTCAATCTAAGCAGTCATCCGTGTCAATGCTTGGGGCCCACGTATTGCTGCGACTGCCAAGCAAGGTCAATGGATCTTGCGATTCCCTTCTGGCGACCTCGTCTTTCCAGGGTCACCGGTGTTGATCATCAAGGTTGCCCAAAGAAATGCAATATCACCTGGGTGTGAAATAACACGCTGGAGCGCCGTCTCTTACCTTTCATTTGGGGCTCATTTGGCAATTGCCAGAGCATTGAGCACGTCATTTGACAAGAAATTAAAGCTTCAGCGTAGCACCCAGTCGATCATAGTATGCGTTCCTTTGGTGAAATCGATCATATGTACCCGCCCATGTTCAAGAGAAACTACAGGAACACCAATTTCGAGGCCCCAATTTCAAGACACCGCCATCGTTTCAGGAACCCTGGAAATCCCTGGAACCCCGAAAATGGTTCAGGAGACAGCATATCTTGTCAGGTTTCAACACGTCCCGAAAATGGTTCAGGAGCTAAAACATTTTTTGTTAATCCTTTTTCCCCTGAGGCAAACCCCCAGCTTTCGGTCTCACGGCCGCCAGCGTCCTTCCGAGCCGCGCTCCACTTCAGGCCCGGCGGGGCGCAGAAAGGGCCGGGTCGCCTCAGCAGCGCCGGTTTTCTGCCGCCAGTTTTTGGGAGTGGGAAACCCCCCCTGTGAGCCACCATTGAAAGGCTAGGTCCAGTAGAGAGGTTAGAATAAGGGCGTTTTTTATGCTATTTTGGTAGGCGTACTACAACGGACCCAGTCCAAACCACCTTTTGGTTCGCAAAATTGTAGGATGGGGTTGTTGACCTACTCTGAGGGGAATCCCCAAAAGTGTGGATTAGATGTTCATGTTGTTCCTTTTACAACAACTCCCAAAGGTTCCAAAATCAACAAACACTGCTGCTGGCAATTTTGCCTTGTGGCTTTGGAGAAAAATGGTCGTCACTGGTAAATATGTTTAGTCAGTGTCCTTGAAAGGCTCAGGGTGCCCTGGGCTGTGGAAATAACAGGGATGTTGCTACGATTTCACGCGAGAGGATTCTTGTTGCATGAATACTTTTGTAGAACCCCGCCCCCCAGCCACCCCCCCCTAACACACCTCCACTGTGGATCTGCTTTGGTCTTGCCGGGGGGCTGGTTGTGCTTGGTTGCCCCAGGAGGTATAAAATCGACTCAGACGCTGGGTGAGTTGTTTCCGACCTTATTGCCCCCAACTTTGCTGACGATACGCCTTGGAAACCCCCGCAAGCTTCAGACTATGGTGATGGCAATGGTGATTGTCATGATAGTGGTGATCATAATGGTGAAGAACAAGAAGAAGGAGAAGAAGAAGACAAAGAGGAAGAAGAAGAACATGCTGAGGATGACGACGATGACGACGATGACGATGACGATGATTATTATTATTGTGAAAGTGACGTTGTTCATACTGATGCCGGTGATCACGGGGCGAGTTCACTTATCCCCCCCCACTCAGGTTGTTCTGCTTCACCCGGGAAATAGCACGTTTGTGGCTCCCTCTTCAAGCTACTTTCGGCAAAATGTTCGTCAGGTGCAGGGCCTGCCCCGGAACCCAGCTTTTCACTAGCTCAGCCACGCTCTCCAATGAAGGAAACCCTTGGTGGCAATTCGTGACCTAAGGTCTGATACATCCCGCAAAAACACGTGAGATACACAACAACAACAAATCCACAAGGGATATTCACGAACAAACATTGGGCTTGGCCATTCCCAGCAAACCCATAGGGGGGATATTCAAAGGCTGATGGTATAGGTCCATATATTAACCCATGGCCAGTTTGGATTCTTTGGGGGCTGATGTTCCATAATTAAGCCATAACTAGTCAGTCGGTGAATTGACCCAGAAAACTAGGGTTCATACCATGTGATGATATATGGATGTATACATTCAGCCTTTGAGTCATAATTTATAATCGACCGCGGATATATTCCTAAGAGGCCCGCCCGGCCAATTTCGACATCCAAGGTGCCAAAGGGCCTGCGACATCGGCAAAGGGGCGGGTTTCCAATGGCGGAATGCGGACAACTTGAGGCCCTCGGGGCGGCCCCGAGATCCCCTAAAGTTTAACCTTTAGCGCCAAAGGTCAAGGTGCGCTGCAAGTCCAAAGGTCACGGTGGTGTTGTGTTCATTTTTCGGGGGCCCAACGGACCCACTGCACAGAACTTCTTCCTCTCCTTAGGCCGGGTGAGGGCAAAAAACCGATAATTTTCACCAGGCAAGGTTGGTTTGGTCACAAAAGGCAGCGTCCTTCCTTTAGGTTTACTTCTGAAATCTTCCCGCAGCCTACCCCAACCTCACACCTAGCGAGAGGTTGGAAGGCACGGGAGCCTGCGAAGACAACCTTTCCAAATTAGAGACTCGAGGTGGTTGCTTTCCAATTTGTTTTAACTCTCTAAAACTATTGCAAAAAAGGCTTGCGCATTTTGAGGTTCCAATTGAAGTCTCTCTAAACCTATTGCGAAACAGGCTTGCGGATTTTGAGACAGGCATGGACAAGCAAGCAAGCGGCCTTGCAACCCACGCAAGGCTGCGACACACTCAAAAGCTGGCAGTTATGGTGAACACAGCATGTGTGTGACGCAAAGTGCAAGTAGGAGCAAGGGAACTGTTTGGATGCTTGTTGGGTGGATGTTCAAGCAACGATACGCTACCAAAATGCCGAAACAAGGTCACTACACCATCCAAAGCCACTCCTGTAGGGATACTCAACCACAGTCAAACTGTGCAGTGACCCCTGATGGACATGGGAAAGTTAAGCACCGAAACAGGTGTTGAAACACCCTGCCCGTTAGGTTAAAGACTAGCGAGCCCGCGTCTCCCGACCCTCCATTCGAGCAAGGATCTTCTGGATATAGTGAACGAACCTCATATTTGAGCCCTGGACAAATGCTATTCCCCAATAGGACAAGTGACAGTTGGGTCGTTCCGCATATTTTGGTGGGACATTTGGATTGTTCGCCCCCACGTCCTGCGAAAACCAAGAGAAAAATACAAATAAGTTTGCGGTTTGATCACAATATACACCAACAACCTTTTGCCTAAGTCTCCTGGAACACAATGTCGTGTCTCCGAGTCTCCAGTAGTGACAGATTCCCTTTAAACAAAAAAAACAAACAGGGGAAACACACACACACACACACAATACTCCTGGGCCAAAGAAATGGTGCTCCTTTGGAATCAGAGCCCCGCGCCTGTCTTGGCTGGCTGGAAAGCCTCTCAGGCGCTTTTTGAGTAGATGACTCGGCGGGGATGCTGCCAGTAGACAGGGCCGAAGGAGGGAACACGTGCGACATTTCAAAGGTTTGAGTCCCCATTCTCTTCACCCATCGTTCTCTTTGGAAACCACCCATGTTCCAGGGTTTTGGTCCATTCTTCGAAGAGCATGATGCCTCAAGAGAATGGGGAGGGTACAGCTAGAACATTGGCCGAATCCTCGCCCCGAATTGAAACAAGTTCTCCAGCTTTCTCAGTCTCAGGTGTCTATTTGTGCTGTCGCCTTTGCAAAATAGAGGCTGATCTAAATTATGCTACCAAAATGGAAGGCAGGCCTTTGTTGACTTCAGAGCAGGCAAACTAATAAAGACGGGCCCCTCGATTGACCTGCATTTTTTTGGCATGTCCCCATGAAGCTGCAACTTTTGGAGGTGCCAAAAGGGAAGTCATACTGTGAATCCACAGTAGGGCCCCCTGTGGCACGCGCATAAAACCTACGCTGACCGAGAATGGGTGACGGGCTTCCAGAATGACACCTCTCACGACCTGGAGATTTGGACATGTGGTGGGGTTTATCAATCTTCCATTTAGGGCCCCCAGTCTTGATCATGGGTAACTTTTCCCATGTGGGAAATATCATCTTTTTAGTGGTCTTCCACAGTGGTCGTCCCGTGTAAAGGATCAATTGATCAACCCCAATGTGCCCCTGGATTGCACATTTGCACAACAGGGTGGCGATGAGCTTCTGAAAGTTGACACATGAAGATGGTCTGATCAGTGGCTGCACCGTGTGTCGCTTTCATCATTCAAATGGTCGGCCCGCTTCGGCTGAGCTTGCGAGGAATGGACCACGGACCTTCCTACCACATCAAGCTGGATGCACCCGGAAGCAACCAATGGCAACCCCCAATCTGGGGCCTAAAGAATCCCGGTGCTTTCCTTAGGTTTGGCTGGGTTGCAATCACCTGTTTGGGCTAAAGACCAATCTCAGTGAGCTGAAGGGTCGAAACATTTTGTTGTTGTACTTGGTGGGTGTTGCAATGGAGAACCACAAAAGCAACATGACCGAGTGGTGCTGGGGGTCAGTCACGTGGGTATATGTCAAACTAGCGGTACCCCCAAACTTGTGATTTCCGTCTGGCATTGAAACCGCCCACAAAAAGGGTGTCCACAAATCAAATGGCAAACCCAGCAGCATTTAGAGAACGCCATAGAGCGTCCTAGACATGTTCCATTTACTCAAGGAGATCGAGGGAAAGGTACACACAAATGGACACCCTAAAGGAAGTCAACGGGGACTCTAATACAACTTGCAAATTTTATGCAGAAACCGGAACAAGATTTGGATTCCCAAGTCAAGGAGGCTTTGAACCGTTGTACCCCCGGATCGGGGAGCTCGCCATAGAGTTGACACAAACAACCTGGGGTTTGAGCTGGTTGACAAGCGCCACTACATTGCTTCTACTAGCAACTTGCACTAGTCTTCATCAAGCAGAGTATGGTTTTCGGGCTTCTATCAACATGTCAACACAAAAAGAAAACACGAAGACGTTAAGTTTCCTGGGCTGTCCTCAGATCCCGGCCAAACATATCTTTTAGTGGGCTAAATGGAAATCCCCGCTAAACACCAAACCGCTGACGACCTGTGGAACCGGATGGCTGGGCGTGCCACCAAGTGTGGAACCAAGCCCACGGTTTCATTATCCAAGATTAGCGCGCGGGCGGTGTCATTCCTAGGTCCTCCAGTAGAGAGGTTAGAAAAAAGAAAACCATTTTTTCTGCAGTCTACTTTAGTAGGGGAACCCTCCCAACCAAAAAGGGGTGAGAAAGGGCACCTAGCTGGGTAACTTAGCTTTTCCTCTCAGCCGAGTGGTTTGGGAGGCGGGCCTCCAGCGCCTCCGACAGCTTCTCGCAGGGCGAAGCCAGGAACTTGTCCTCGGACAGCAGCTTTCGCGCGGGGCCGCGGCAGGTTTCGGGTGGTAGGGAGGGGGGGGGGTGGGCGGGGGGGTCGAGGGGAAAAGCGCGGGGGGTTTGGGGTGGGGGGGACTTGGGGGTTGGGGCAGGTTGGGAGGGTTTTTGGGGTTAGAGGAACTTGTTTGTTCTTCTTGTTCTTCTTCTTTATTTTTTTCTCGGGGGGGAGGTTCAAGGGAGGTTGCGGGGGGCTTGGTTTTGGGGCCCTAAGTTTTTTGGGACACACGCAAAATCCGAGTTCTACAACTCATTAAGGAAAGTGTTGAAACCATTTTCCTGGATGACTGCGAAATTCATCTTGTCAACCAGGGGTGATAGGAAGAGCCAGTGTTTCTCCCCACCAGGTTCCGCTTTGGAATCATTTTGTAGAGAGTTCAATTAGGTCCGTTAACGTGACATCATCCGCAAAATTACTCTCGTGTCTTGTTGCCTTGACGGGGGCTTCCCACCTCCACAAGGCGCCGTGAGAATCCCTCGGCTCAACCCATCAACCCTCTGTTGAAGCAATCTAACTTATCTAACACTAATTTGTTGGGATCGTGCTTGTTATTATCCATTTAAGCGGCTTTTAGTGGGAACAAGTCTTTGGAAGGTTCACCCCATCTACCGAACGGGACCGTACTCTTGTAGTTTGCGACAAAAACCAAGAGGTGAAATAGAGGTCAACAAAGCAGGTTTCGGGAATGGAGAAACAGGGTCTCCCCGGGCCCTTTACCCAAATTGTGCTTTGTCTTTAAAAATCTCGTCTGAACCAAGATGAAAAAGAGTGTCCCCCAACAGCTTAATTAAACAAAAAAAACGACACCAACAAGAAGAAAAGGGTACCGCCCGCCCCCCAGTAAAAACCAAGAACAGTTGCTACCCTCAGGAAAAAAACACTCCTCATTTTTGGCCTCGGCTCACTCAGGGCAAGGCGCCACCATCTTCGCAGCGCCTTTGCACACCGCCAGCGAGGGCCCCAGGATCACCAACGAGCTCCCCTCCAGAACCAGGTAGCAGCCTCCGTCCGCGTTCCAGAACGAGAAGGTCGAGTGAACCGACAAGCCACTACGGGACGGGGGGGTATAAAACAGATATGGCCACTATGTGCAAGTCACATACTCCATGTTCACCTCACCTTCCCAAAGAACATGAAAGCGAAGCTTTTGGGGTCTTGGACAGCTGAGCATTCGTGCTAGGGTGTCCACTAGCCCCAAACCACTGCCCAAAGAGAAGCTGGGGAGGTATATAACGGCCACATAGACACTATGTAACCCAAATTAATAGACCACCCGGACAACAAACATGAATATAAATCTTGGGTTCTCAACCAAAAACAAAGCGCCACCTGTGTTCATGCTTTTTGTGTTCGGGGGGGGGGGGTGAGGCCCACTGCCCCAGGTGCCTATCCCCGGAGGGAACTGGAACTTTGTGGTAGTTGAGGTCGTTGTTGGTCCCTGGATCTATTCCGGAGAGAGTCCAATATGCCAGTAATGGATGATTGGAGGATGGATTGTCCCTGGTGGATTGTCTGATGGATAATCCTGTAAGCGGCCTGCAATGGCTCTTTTGTCCTCACGCTCGGATGGTCGTGATTATGCAAAAGGGGCCTTGAGCCAAATGTTGCGGGAGATCAATGGTCTGAAAAACAGAACACAGGGGGGGGGGGGGGGGCGGGGGCGCAACGACGCTATATCAAGTTGTGGATGTTGGACGCAAACACCTGTGCACTTACACCCCGTGCACCGAACAGCTAGCGAGTGAGCGGAGTGGGCTCCAGGGTACACCTGTTTGACCACGTAAGCTAACTGTGGTGCTCTGTGCTGGCTCAACAAAAAACATCGCGTCAACTTCCGGCAGCTTGCCCAACTTCCAAGGATTCCAAGGGACCCAGGGAGCAACAAAAAGAAAGCAAGGACCATCGTCCGGCTGACCGTTCTTAGAGTGCGAACCTGACGAAAAGAATGGACAAACGATACAACTGAACATCTGGGTTGTAGGTGCACCATGCCCAGACTGGTTAGGGGTTGCCTCTTGACTAATTGCTTGGTCCCCATAGAATGATTTTGGTCCCCATTGCCCAGTAAACAGCAAAGAAGATACCCTGCGACGTCTAACGTAGGGGGCTCCAAAATCATCGGCAAATTTCTAGCCGCGTGTCACTTCCATTTGCAAACTTGAGCTATTCCGGGCGAACAATCATAGTTCACCAATCCCAAATCAGGGATCCATATGAACTCGACCTTCATCAAGGGACAAACCAACTACCCAGAACATGAGTCTAAAGTAACGGTATCTGTGTCAATCAGAGCTACCCTCCCACGAACAAACATGAAAGTGCACAGATCCCATTTAGAAGTAATGACGCGAGCGAGGCGCCTGTCTTCTCGCCCACAGCTCTCAAGGGGCACTCGGAGCCCGCGAGCTTGCCGGACATAGGCACCTCGCGAACGGAGTCATCGAAATCTGTGTGACTCCAAAGGTAGGGAACCCTTTTCGGGCTTGGCCCCAACGGCCGCCCCCCTGAATAAATAAGAGGGTCTGCGCGCTGATGGGGGTCTATTGGCAAAACCTTCTCTGATTTAATCGGGGCCTTGGTGCCATGTTTTGGAGTTTTGGGGTTTGCTCACACTGTGTGAGCCAAATTTCCGCAGATCCAAAAAACGGATGTCCCCCAAAACGAGAGACCATTTCTGGTTACTGGTTGGATCGAGGCATGGTTCTGAGTTGGCATGAGTAAAGGGAAACAACGCAGCTCTCCCAACTAACAACCACATTCCAAAATGGCCATACTGTGACCAAGTGTGTAAGAAGGCTGTTATTTGCAACCCGGGGAAAAACACGGTTTGCTTCGCTCCCTCCAACTCAACATAGCTCAAGTCATCAGCCGAGTGGTTTAACCGAGGACTCCAAAAGAATACTCCCAGCAAAGGTGCTTCTGCTAAATTCAGCGTACATGTTTACCCACACACAGACAAAAAACAACCTACATACCAGCAATTCAGCCAATCAACGTCTTCCGACTTCAACACCCTCTCCTCTCCTCTACTACTTCTACTACTCCCAGTAGTAGTAGTAGTAGTAGTAGTAGCAGCAGCAGCAGCAGCAGCAGTAGTAGTACGAGTAGGATTAGGAGTAGTAGTAGGAGTAGAAGTAAGGGTGGGAGAAGAAGTAGAAGTAGTAGGAGTAGTAGTGGACTGGCAGTCTGCCCCAGCTAGTGTGGCCAACGCGAAAAATAACGCATGTGCGGGAGCACAAGACACAAATCAGCAAATCAAATAATGTGTCATCAAAAGCAGCAAAAATAAACGCACAAAAACACACACAAAACAAACACAAACAATGTTACACCTCCTTTAATGATAGGGTCCTCTATTGTGTATAGTTTTTGGTAATTCAGGATCCTGTGACTGTTTTAGGGGCCCTCTATTATGGAAGGTGTTTTGGCCGGAAAATGCCGGAAACAACGCTGGCAAAAATATGGGCAACAAAAACTTGGCAAACAAGTCGGGCAAAAAAAAGCAAACAAATCCTGGCAAACATTGGGATCCTCTTTAATGAAACTGTTTTGGGGTCCTCTGTAGTGTCCAGCTGGTTTCGGGGTTGCTGAAAATTGAAAACCAAAGCCTCAGCCTTTTACTTTCAAAGGAGGGGGCTCATCCTAAGCTCTCCCCAGCTCAAAGATAAAGGCCTGAGATCTAGGAAACCCATTTTGCAAGTTGTTCCCAAACCATCAAATTTGAGATAACTTCTTTACACAAAAGTGAGGGCAATCAGTCACGCACAGGGGGGTGCCCACAAGAGCCCCTGATCCTCTTTAGTCTGACTGTTTTGGGGTCCCCTTTGGTGCCCAACTGGTTTTGGGGGTTGCTGAAAAAACGGTCCTTGGCAATACTAAAGTAGAATTGGCAAAACCAAAGTAAGTACTGGGAATCTGAGAGCCAGCCTTGCAATATTAAAGTAGAATTGGCAATGCTAAAGTAAGTACTGGGAAGCTCCACCAATACTAAATCAAATGGAAACTCAGTTCCAAATCTCAAAACATGGAAACTGAAGTCTACCAATACTCAATCAAATTGAAACTCATCCAAGTCTCATCCAGGCCCGCAGGATTTCCCTAAAGAGGGTCCAGCTGACTGGTTCCATTGTTCGGGGGGGGGGGAAGCCTTAAAGAGGGTCCAACATCACCAGCAAACCAAACATATTTCTACTCTGGCTCTTCATTGGGTAACTCACACAGTAGCAGGAGAATAGGTGGCAGGCGAGCAAACTGACACCCATGGTTTGCCCCTCATGAAAAGCCGCAGGCGCCCAACTTCCTATGGTGTTTAATGCTTTCCCTGATGACCCGCAAGCTGGCTTTCTTCTGGCCCCTTTTCAGGATTTTCTTTGATCCTGCCATCTTGTGTCGCCCCATCCGTATTGCCCTTCTGGTGGACACACTCGAGAGTTGTCTGCCCTACCTTGTCACTTTCAAGCACCCCCCCCCCAACCCACCCCAACCCAACCTTCGGTTTCTGTCCTGCCTGGTGCCTGAATTCCACGAGGCCCAGCGCCTTGAGCGATGTCAACGACCCCTCCAGCAGCTCACGCGCGCGAAGGCGCGCATCAGCCGGGCCCCCGAGCCTCGCCTGCGCTTTCGGTCGAAACTGGATCGGAAGGACGCCATCATTGCTTCCAGTTGCCGCTATAGTAGGCACGCTTTTGTAGGCAACCAAGGTTTCTTGCCTCCGGGTGTTAACTCATGGCTTGCCTGTGTTGAGACAACTACCTACTACAGGTTGGTGTGCGTATACGTGTGTAGGGAAACTGCAAGCAATGGGGTCCGCAGCAGCGACCTCCAGAATCATAAATCAACCTTTCGTAGGCGTCATGACGCAAAAAAGCCACTCCAGCGGTTTTGTAACGATGGTTGATGTGAGCTCGCTTTTGACGCTTGTCCCGACTCTACCTCTGTTCGAGGCAAGATGTCGGTCATAATTTTGGGCGGCCTCCCGTTTTTGCCTGCCGCCGTCTCACCCCCCAGGAATATCCGGGCCGCGGGGCGGACCCGCGGCTCCGGCGAGGCGACGGGCAAGCCCAGCAAGCACAGTAATTGGCACGTCGCTGTCATGCGCCAAGGCTTGCCTTTCGTTGGCCCCAGCAAACAACGCAGCGCCAAGCCAGAAAACTCGGCCTTGCCAGACAAAGCCAGGAAAGGGAGAAATTTCAGAATTGCACTATCAAAAAACATTTGATGAACATCTTATTCAAACCACACTGCGGAACCCCTTTGATATCATTCAACACTTGATGCTAGCTTTCTGAGCGCCCAAAACAGGCCTCTCTTGTCCAGCAAATATGCTTCTTCCGAATTCACGAGTCTCCGATGAGTCTGCTCAAGCAGCGCAATAAAAGTCTCCCATCTAGACATCTTCGAAGCGGCATCACTCTGTCTCAGAGAAGCTTCAGCTCCAATAACAAGAAGATTGGGGGTTACTCAATATTCCTAGCCCCCAACTCCATGGGTAACGTTGTCCTATTTAGTGGGAAAGGCATCTTTTTGGCGGTTTTCTCTAATGGTCATCCCATGTCCATTGGACCTTTTGATCAACACCACCTCACCACGGAACGAGAAAACCGCCACCCACACCGGAAAACCATTTCTCTCGGGCGCCAACATCCGGCAGAAAAACCCAAGGCTCACCAAAAGTGGCAAGATAATTCCAAGCAAAATATCAGAAGAATCATAAGAGTCTCAACAATTGGAGCCCAAAGGCAATGAGGATCCTAGGGGTAATCTATTAGTATGTTTCTTTATCACGTATTTCCGGCTACGTTCCTTAGCTTGCGTCGGCTCTGCGCTTTGCAGAATTAGATTGAACCAGGCCCTGGACTTGTGGAAAGCAAAAGGAAGGATCATGTTGCACGTTACGAGGCCTGTCTCCCCCCTCTGCACTCTCTGCCCACCTTTCCATTCTGCCTGGGCTTGCAACCCGCACATGCAGTTGCTCACAATGCCCCTGAAACATCTTGGAGGGAAACATGCACCGCTCTCTGAGCCCTGAAGGGTGCCCATGGAGAAACAAGGGGAGTTTCCGGAATGGGGAATTCATAGTCCGAGGTTGTTTGCCAAAGGCAAAGACGACACTTGACTCAACAGGAAGCCGCTCTCTTCCCGAGAATCAGCACGGGCCGCTGTTCTGGAGAGTCATCACTCCACAGGGAAACACCCGAGCCTTCATTTGGGTGTGGCTCAAAAATAGCGGGCAAGGGCTACGCAGGTGTGCCATTTTGGTAATTACATGTTTTTGAGCCACAGCCATTTAACTTAAATGACAAGGGGCAACCCGCCAAGCCATTGGCTTTTCGCTGAAACAAGAGGAGCGAATGGCAAAGGATGTTTGCACCCGGAGGTTGCACAGCCCCTGGTGAATTACCTTCATGGCAATTGGAGATGGGAAGGACAAATCAATGAGTCCGACCATTGGCATTTAATCCATCTTTTCAAGTTAATGGGGCAATCGGACCAAACAAGGCTCCTGCTTCTTGATGGAAGCATTTGGGCACATCAAAGGGGAACAAGTGAGAATCCGCGATCGGAACAGCTTGAATAAACACGTGGCAATGTCTGCCTATAGCCCGTAAAGCAACATCCAAGCGGCCACGGTTCCCAGTGCAAGAGCCTTACCGAACAAACCTGGATGAGCCAACCCCTCGCATCAAGCCTGAGGATTCGCAATACTTTCGTCATGCTACCTACCCTTGTAGACAACAAAGATCGTGCCGTGGTCTTTTAGAAGAAAAGTAAAACACGGCGTACACATTCAGCATTAAACAAAAGCAAGCTGAAAGGTAACAACCTGCAAAACGTATTTTGGCAGAAGCCTTGCAGAAGTCTTGGCACTTCAGGACACAAGGCATCCCTCGCATCATTCAATCTCTTGATTGTTTCCCAAACAACAGGTGTCCCTTGGAAAGAAAGGGGCGAGGTCTTAGAGCCAAGAAGGACCCTTGAAACATATGCTTGTCTTGAACTAGGGAACCCCAGACATCCTGGTCTTCCTTCAATTTCCCCTTCAAGCCTCCCCGAGAAAAACAAAAAACACCATTGGCAAAAAACCGAACGAGACGTATCTCCAAGTGGCAACTCGCAGGTGTGGATGCCTGGCGCAGGAAGTAGAACCAGGGAACAGAACGAGACAAACAAGACGAAGACGGCTTGCTTGATTAATCAAGCAAGCAAGACATTGTATACATAGCCATATTAAATATACTTTGTATGTATGTGTGACACTGTATGTGTGTGATGTGTGTAGGTATGTACGTATGTTCGGTGCACATGTGCAGCAACTGTGCGTCTGCAGTTCACCAGCGTCAAGCTCAGAACCTTCCCATGAAGCGGCCTTCATTGTGAGTGAGGTCGCAACCTCTCAATGTATGCCTGTACACACACACACATATATATACATATTGCCTATACATCCACACAATCCATCGCTTGCTTCATTGTGGTTACGTGTGGCACGTAGCCTGTCTCCTAGCTCCACCCAGACGTCATCTTGCGTTGAATGAACCAGCTCGCCAAATAAGGGGAACCTTTAGGTAAAGATCCCCGGGTGTAAGCATGCTTGCAACTCGAAGAGTTCGAGGGCTGGAAAGCCAATACATATGTCCTGTTTAAGGTTGAACATGAGTGACCCCACTTTGCACGTCATGCTCTTGCACGTTCTCGAGAAATCCGTCAAACAGGTGGCTTTGCAGGTACTCAACATCCTGTATGAATCTATAATAAAGTGGTAGCATGGCAAGGCTAAGGACGCCCCCAAATTTGCGGTTGTCTTTCGGTTTTAGTTCCAAGACGAAATACAAACTAACAACAACCTTCATCCTGGTAGGCTCGATTTACCCCCTGGTGAGCTCGCCATGAAATCAGCGGAATCCTGGACAGACCACCTTCCAACAAAACAACGCACACAAGCCGAGGCGCGTTCCAGATTCCATGCCACGGGAAAAAAACCGGGAGCAACGAAACCAAGCCAACAAAAAAGGCAACAAAGGGAGACACCCAAGAAGCGAGGTTCCGATCGCTAGCACCGGACGAAGAGTCATTTGAGTCAAAATTAAACTTCCATGTACCAGGGTTCCATTTTGGGAACCTTTTCTTGACCCACACCCATTTGATCTGGGTAAGTTATAATATTTCACCTGAAACTTGCGGTGGTTTGGGGGCTATTCCCAACATAAACCAACATTTTCGGGGCTGGGAAAAAGCACTCAAACCAGAATTTGGCTGAGGGCAAGCACTCGGGGGGGCCTCTGAGCGACCGCGAAACATACAAAAGTGTTTTTTCGGGGCTGGCGAACAATCTGGAAAGCCTGAGGGCAAGCAAACAACTCGGGGGCCTCTGAGCGACCGCGAAGCACACACATGCTTTTTTCGGGCTGGGAAAAGCACTCAAGCCAACATTTAGCATCTGGAGCGCCTGAGGGCAAGAAAACAACTCGGGGGCCTCCGCGTAGCATACATATTCGAAAAGCACGAAAGCCAACATTTAGCATCTGGACAAGCAAACAACTCGGGGGCCTCTGAGCAACCGCGAAGCATACAAATGAATTTTTCGGGGCTGGGAAAAAACACTCAAGCCAACATTTAGCATCTGGAGAGCCTAAGGGCAAGCAAGCAGGGGCCTCTGAGCAACCGCGAAGCATACAAATGCGTTTTTCGGGGCTGGGAAAAAGCACTCAAGCCAACATTTAGCATCTGGAGAGCCTAATGCAAGCAAACAACTCGGGTGCCTCTGGGCAACCGCGAAGCACACGCATGCGTTTTTCGGGGCTGGGAAAAAGCACTCAAGCCAACATTTAGCATCTGGAGAGCCTAAGGCAAGCAAACAACTCGGGTGCCTCTAAACAACCGCCTTTGTACACGCATGCGTTTTTCGGGGCTGGGAAAAAGCACTCAAGCCAACATTTAGCATCTGGACAGCCTAAGGCAAGCAAACAACTCGGGTGCCTCTGGGCAACCGCGAGCACACGCATGCGATTTTCGGGGCTGGGAAAAAGCACTCACTTCAAGCCAACATTTAGCATCTGGAGAGCCTAAGGCAAGCAAACAACTCGTCAAGCCAACAATCAGCATCTGGAGGCAAAGCACACGCATGCGTTTTTCGGGGCTGGGAAAAAGCACCCAGGCCAACATTTAGCATCTGGAGAGCCTAAGACAAGCAAACAACTCGGGTGCCTCTGCGCAACCGCGAAGCACACGCATGCGTTTTTCGGGGCTGGGAAAAAGCACTCAAGCCAACATTTAGCATCTGGAGAGCAGAAGGCAAGCAAGCAACTCGGGGGGATGCGTTTTTCGGGGCTGGGAAAAAGCACTCAAGCCAACATTTAGCATCTGGAGAGCCTAAGGCAAGCAACCAACTCGGGGGCCTCTGGGCAACCGCGAAGCACACGCATGCGTTTTTCGGGGCTGGGAAAAAGCACTCAAGCCAACATTTAGCATCTGGAGAGCCTAAGGCAAGCAAACAACTCGGGTGCCTCTGGGCAACCGCGCAGCACACGCATGCGTTTTTCGGGGCTGGGAAAAAGCACTCGAGCCAACATTTAGCATCTGGAGAGCCTAAGGGCATGCAAACAACTCGGGTGCCTCTGGGCAACCGCGAAGCACACGCATGCGTTTTTCGGGGC